GACTGTCCCTGCCACCGCTATGCACACACAACAAAGCCTCAAGCGTCAATAGTGCTGAGATGGAGAAACCCTTGTCCACATGTACTCGAAGGACAGAGAAGGGACAGTGATTCCTGACCACCTGGGCTGCCACTAGTTTTACATGACCAGTGCCTCCCGGAGTTACGGGACTGGGCTGGCATTAGATAATGAGAAACGTTAAGGTGGTGTGTGATTCAGTCCTGAGCTTAGTTCATTTAGAATTACTGTAAACCAGGGATCTAATAATAAAACACAGGTGGCAAACACAAGGCCTGCGGGCCAAATCCTGCCCTCCACCTTGTTTTATCGGCCTGGCACCTTGTTTCTACCTGGCCAGCAGCACCGAGCTCCTTGTCCCTAGTTAAGGAGTAGTTATATTTACACAGTCTTAAAGTTACATTCGGCCCTTTGAAGGCAACCATAAGTCTGACATGGCCCCTGGTAAAAATGAGTTTGACACCCCTATAGTAAACAATTACTGGTAAAAGAACTATATGTGTATAAAAGGCATTTCTTTTGCATTTGACCCAAGTTTGTGTCACATACAGTATTTGTAGGTTACGCATTGAGTGTCTCAACTTTTGTTCTTTGCCTGTTACCTCTGGGCTTAATGGAAAGAGTTAGGAATTTAGAATCAGAGAGTTCTGGATTTCATGTTCAGGTTCTAGTTATGTGACCTTGGACAAGTTATTTGTCTCTCAGTTATAGTTTACTCTGGGAAAAGGAATAATAAAATAAATCCTCTGTAAAGCTAAAGGAGGTAAATGTTGGTTTCTGTTTGTGTGTATTTGTGTGTGTATTACACGCCCTGCGTAAGTGTGGAATCTGAGGTACAGAGAGGCCGTGACCTGTGTAGCACTGCACAGTAAGCAGAACTAGGATTCAAACCCGTGCCTTTGTTTATCTTCAGACTCGTGGGCTTACCATGTTGCTTTGATTAAATAGTGGACAAGAGCAGAAAAATGAGAAGGAAAAAAATGATTTTTTTAAGAATGACTTTGACTTTTCCCCATACTGAAATTTACTTTGCCCAGGTTTTTAATTACCTGAATGTCTCATGGAATGCATGACAAAATTGCTCTGTGGAGTGAATTTTGTTTCTAAAATAACAGTGTGCCTTTAGATCTGTAAAGAGATAAGCACACAATTCCATATATTTCAAAAAATTTAAACTTTTATTTAAAAATAAATGTTAACAGCTCCTCCCAAGGTTTGAGACTCTCTTGTTGTAAGTCTTTATTCTAGAGGCTGTAGTTTTGTTTCTGACACTTGCTGAAGGATTGCAATGCTAGTGCGGGCGGCCAGCACCGCTGGGTTCTTTTTCCTGTGCACTGCCGTTTTCATCTGTCGTTCCACTGGTGCCAGCGTACGAGTCTGCCGACACAGAACCGCAGGTCTTTAAAGCCAGGGTCTGATATGCGTACAGTGCCTTTCAGAGTCAGTTACCCAACAGCTTCCTCTTTCTGCAGCTACGAAGTTCAGAAGAACCAGTTGAGTAGGTGGATTAATTTATTCCTTCTGTGTCTGGTATTTTGTGGCATCAACAGCACCAGAGATACTGTAGCTAATTTCAAGAACTGTCATCTAACTAGGGATGATATTTCCGTGCCCGGAATCCTGTGGAGAAAAATCTGGCAAACAAGGGAAGCTTTATGTAACCCTTTTCTACAGGAGCCGTAGTTTTACAGCGGGTGCCCATGGGCGGAATTTTGCTAAACATCAAACTAAGCAAAACTGAGAGTTTCTTTAAAGTTGTAAATGTATGAAATAAAATCCAAGATTTTTGAACGACATTGATATATAAGCAGTCTACTTTGGATAAACAAAAATGACTTGTTTACTAATTGTGAAAATTTCTGTGTTTCTAACTTCCTTAAAATATAAGCAGTAGGAACACAGTGAATTCTCAGTTAACTAAACCTTCCTTTGTGAGAAAATGCCGAGCAAAAGGCCTTCCAGCCTGTCCTCATTAGCCCAAAACCTGATTATAAGTTCAGTCTTCTGTGAACCTTAAAAGGATTCTAAAATTTGAGGTTCTTGTTATTCTCTCTATTAAGTAGATTTTTTAAATATGTAATCCCAGCTGACTCAAACCGACTGTCGAGAGAAGATAATGCCTCTTTACTTTATAAAATCACAAACTTCTAGAGCAGAATGGACTTGAACAACCATGCACAGCAGCCCTCTTACTTTACAGGACAGCAAATTAAGGCACAGAAAGATGGATGAATGTGTGCAGGATGGCATGGGTGGGCAGAGCCAGGAACGAAAGCCAGGCTCTCTGACCCACCCCGTTCTCTTCTCCCTGTTCTGACTTCTTCATAATTTTGAAAAATTGAGGCTCTCACTTTTTTTATTGTGGTAAAATATACTTAGCACATAATTATTAAATTAAAAACAAATCTCTTTGGAAAAAAAGGCAGAGCAACTGTATAGCATAAACAATAGAAAAATCTCTTTGACTAGGCAAACACATGAACGTGAAATGAAGTCAAAGATACACAAAGGTTGACAATGTACAGGTCGGGTCCAGCTCCCTCTGTCTAACTTCTGCCATCCTGGTCCCCTCCGTGGGGATGGCCACGGTGAAGAGTGCGGCATTTTAAGTAGACTGCTTAGTCTAATAACGTGCCCCAGTTGATGTTATGGCCTTATTCTTCACGGATTGCAGGCTGGCCTGCCAGGTTTAGGTCATGCCCAGCAGAGGGAAAACATAAGCTGTGGAATTGGAATATGGAGAGATTTGTGAATTGGATTTGAAAATTATCCTAAATCCAAGTTATTTCTAGCAATAGAAGGAGGTGCTCTCATATAGCAGTACTCTGTTGCTCAGATAATGAATGTCTTTTGTACAAAGAGCCTAAAGTATTTTATAAGAGCCCTCATGTATCCTCATGACATGTGAAATCCCTCTCTGAGTATTGCATAATTGCATGCAACTGCTGTAAGGTCTATAGCACATTGGCCAAAAAGAAAAAAAAGAGTTATGTTAATGTTTGAGTTAACCTCCCCAGCCTCTGTGAAGCCATCAGTGTGGGACACCACAAGCATGTGCTTCTCAGTCACTGAGCCCCCTCGGCCTCCCTCAGTGAAAAACCTCAATGCTGGGTCTTTGGGTGGGGCACACCCAGGCATTTGGCCTGGAGAGTTCCAGCAGGGTGAGCAAGTTGGGTGAGGGTGCGAAAGGGAGTTCCAGGAGTGTACGTGCACCTGTGACTCTGCTGCCCCAGTTGAGGTTGTAGAGCAGGAGTAGCAGCTGGGCAGCAGTGGGCTTTCAGAACTGAAAGCTTGGAGACTGGGTTGATAGCCACAGGCAGTGGGGAGGCTTAGGCTACTGCCCCGCTGTGGCGAGAGGTTGGGCTGGAGCAAGCTGCAGCTCTAGACCCAGGGTACCACAGACGGGCTTTGCCCAATTTTTAAAGGCAAATCTCCCCCAGCAAAAGGGAGGAGGGCTGAGACTGCAGGTGGTCCTCTTTGGTACCTCTGTGTGACTGAGCATCTGACAACAGGTTTCACCTGGTGGGGCAGTTTGGCGGTGGCTTAAAGAGAGATGAGACTGAGTTTAGGAAGAGATAGGGAGAGGAAAGGCAAGGTGGGGGTAGGGTGTCTTCGAGAGAGTTTTTTGACTTCTGTACCATTAGACTCTTGAAATGTGGGTTTCGTGTTCCGCTCTGCAACAGTGTTTTGTTACATTTTATTTTCAGTTTCCCTGATCCTAAGACTCTCCTAGAGGACACGGTAGAAGTTCCGATTCCTTGACCTGTGTCCCAGAGATTCTGTCCCAGTCTGAAGTAGGAGGCATACTGTCTGCTGAATACTGGGGTAGTTTTAACAAGTGTCTAGGTGTTTGTAGGGAACACTATCAGATCAGGGCTGAGACCTTTGTTTTCATTAGTTCTGATGTTCTGCTCTACATTTGTCCTCAGTTGTAAATACAAATGTTGAGAGTATTGGGAGCCTTAACTGAAAGTGGCCCATTTACCAGGTCTGTCCAGAAAGTATCCAGCCATGTAATATGAAGAATAGAGATATTTATCAAAGATACAAGAAACACTATACATAGGGCAATAACGCCTCAGCCCCTTCAAGGTAGGCACTTGGGACCTCACACAGTTCTCCCAGTCGCCATCAGCTGCCACGTCATATTTTCCTGAGTCTCAAGGGTCAGAAAACTCTTCCCTTTCAAAGGTGATTTTAATTTTGGGAAAAGCCAGAAGTTACACAGGCACCATATCTGGGCCATAGGGGGGTTGAGTCACCTGGGCGATTTGATGTTTCCCTAAAAAACTCTGCACAAGACATGATGCATGAGCAGGTGCATTATCATGATGAAGCTGCCAATCACCAGTTACCCATAGCTGTGGCCTTATGAGTAATCTGAATAGTTTCCACAGAAGACTGTTCAAGCTTACCACAAAATTTGATGCAGATTCATTGCTCTACTCACTCATTTTGAATGTGATGTCCCCACAGTGAGCATGCTCACTGAGTGGCTTCTACTAGCCCCACTAACTAGTAGAGTGAAGTCGTCATTTTTCACACATGCACATTCCAGTCTACTCTCCTTGGCTGCCAGGTTACATTGATGTGCAAACTATTCTTGTTATATTAACAATGGCTGGACTTTTTCCAGACAGACCTTGTATGTCAAATTAGAGCTTTATTTTTAAAAAGCATGCATGTTCCTCTTCTGTTTAAATCACTGGAATATTATTAGTTCACAGTGACTATTAAACCATCGATGCTGTTGATCTTTGCACATAGAACTGAGTGGCATTTTATTTGTTCTGTTGGTTCTGCCATTATAACAAATACTCTGATATTTTAAAATTATCCAGAACTTGTGGTAATTGGTAGAAAATATGTTTTATAGTTAAAACTATTATAAGGAGAAAATGGCCATTGTTTCATCATCACAGTCATTTTCACAATTTAAAATGTAAATTAAAAACTTCAGTGGTTGTATTTTTTCTTCTCAGATAGGAACCAAGGCTTTAGCCTCCTCAGCTCACTGGCTGGAGCAAACCATAGCATCGCATCAGCAGACACCTGTCACTCACAGGTAAAGGTTTTTCCTTGATCTTTTCTCCTCTTTGGCTTTAATTTCTCCCAGTAATTATGGATCTTTACACCATTTATCTTTTTTTTCTTTCCATGTAAGAAGTGACAGAATATTAAAAATAGATAAAAGGAGAACCTAAAACAGTCTTCTTGTGCCTCGTATCTATTGCGAGAAGTGTGCTTTGGCATCAGATCAGTGAGCCCTTTCAAGATGTTTGCAGTCTGGGTTGTCTCATGTTTTCTTGCTAGGTTGCTTTTCAAAGAGTGCTAGGGTTTCCTTTAGGCATAAAGTTGCCTCCAGATCTTTAAATATGAAATGAAATCATGGTTCTTTTTCAGTACTTCCCATGTACAAGGCCCTGTACAAATCTGAGGCAGGATCCTTGCCCTCAAGGAGCCTGTTAGACTGATTTCAGCTCTTTGTCCTCCAGGACTTCGAGCCAGATTTACCTTGGTCGGTGTGCTGGAAGCTAGGGCACATAGACTCCTACATTGGCTGTCCGGGCATCTTCTTCATCAGCCTGAGCTGTTTGTGTTAGGGTCATGTTCATTTTCACATTTCAAATAAAACATGGATCTTAAACACAACAAACAATACGTTTTAATAGTCGGTAGCAAAATCATGGCACTTTCTAATTTTTCCTTGAGGAAAAATACTCCCGAGTTAGTGAATTTTTAGCTGTTTCATTTTTTCTTACGTGATGTTCAGCCTTCTTCCATCTCCCCTTGTCTCCAGCTCCTACTACTGCTTCTCTGAAGGCAGCCAGTGGGTGGAAGTGCGAGCCTTCTGGATTTGGTTCTGAAGTAGCCTGCTATTGAATTATTTCTTGTGTGTATTTTCCTCAACAGCAGCCCTGTTTGCCAGCAGCAGATAGGACTGAATCCCTCTTGGACCATCGGGGTGGTGCGGCTAACACAGCAGATGCTCAGGTTGATAGCATTGTGGGTAAGTTGCTCCTTCGGCTGCCAAGAGGCAGCTCTGTGGAACTTGGAGTAGTCAGTGTATCAGGGAATGAATCATCCGGGGTAGATTGACAGGGGGGAAAAATGTGAGCCTTTCAATGGCTGTCAGAAAAAGGAGGGAGAATAAATGCATTACAAGTCCATGGGTATCATTTTTCTCTCTGATTCTCTTAGCAGGATCTTGATTCAGATCATCTTAGTTAGAATAGTTAGAACCAGGCAGTGAAACAGCTTCATATATCTGTATTCCGTAGTTTTTCCATAGTATTGGGTTGGCCAAAAAGTCCATTTAGTTTTTTCTGTAAAATAAAAGACTCATTTTTCATTTTCACGAATAACTTCATTGATTCGGATATGTTGAGTATGTTGGCTACCTCCCACATGGTGGAATGTTGGTTGTTCTCAGTTCATGTCTCAGTTTGATCACTATCAACTTCAACTGGTCTACCCAACCGTGGAGCATCATCCAGTGAGAAATCTCCAGCATGAAACTTTGCGAACTACTTTTGACACATTCGATCAGTCACAGCACCTTCTCCATACACTGCACAAATCTTTATTTGCATTTCAGTTGTGCTTTTTACTTTTCTGGAAGTAACAACTCATAAAATGCAGAAAATGTTGCGTATTTTCTTCCAAACTCAATATTAAAATAGCTGCACAAAAATTCACCCATTTTGATAAGTTTTTTAAATGCACGCTGATATGACAGCTGTCACAATACAATCTAACAAAATTTTTTGAATGAAGTTAAAGACAGCTAAGCACTACTAGAGCCATTATATAGAAAAAGTCAAAAGAACTTTTTGGTCAACCCAGTATTTAACAGTAGTCAAATTGATGATAACAAGAATAATATAACTTTATAATCCCTTTCACATCCTTTTAAAGTTATTTTATAGCCACTTTCTCATTTGATAATGAAGTTAGGTAGAGAAGTTATTTTATGGGAATGACCGTGAGGCCCAGCGTGGTTCAGGAGCCTGCCCGAAGGTACCCAGCAAGGTCCTGAGACAGAGACTGGGGTCCATTCTGTTGCCCCAAAGGCAGAAAGCCCAGGAGCTTAACTGTAAGTGTGTTTTGTCAGGGAGCTGTGACATCTTGGCTCTCTCGTCATGCCACAGAGGGCTCTGGGCAGTAATAAATTTTTAAAAGCACTTTTCCCCTGATAACAAGATAATCCATGCAGAAAACCCAAGGGATTGTTTATAGAAACATATTAAGAAGAAAAAAACCCTTGTAATCTCTTTTCTCTTTAGTTTAAGGTCAGTCTTGTCCTTTCATTTGAATCCTTCCTATAGACTTTTTAAAATTGAGGTGTAATTGACAAACAATATTATATTAGTTTCAGCTGGCTTTTAAACCTGCCAAAGTCCCTTTTATGAAAATAAACCATTAACCACAATGAAGAAGGTAGTTAAGACAAGAACTAAGCTAAGTAATTTGGGAAAACAATTCTGACGGGATATGATAGGGCTAAAAACAAAAAGAACTGATAAAAAGTACTGCACTTTGCTTAATAAACTTGACTTTCATAGGAAAATGGCTTAGGAATTCTAACATTGTATGTATTTACATATATTATGGTTGAAAAATTAAGAAAATACAGTGTAAAGAGAGCTAGATTTTCTCACTGTCAGAGAAGTTACAAATAAGGAAATGGAAGGTTGGGGTGAACCCTCTGGTACTAGACTGAAATTGAAGGTATCAGTATGAACACATGGTTTTTAAAAGCTGTATGTATAGTTAGAGCAATAGAGAAATACAGATGTGTATATGCACCTGTTCGTACATATGTATATTTCCTAGATCTATCCACTCAGGGGGCCTAAAAGCAATAATGGTTCAATAGCAATGGACACACTTAGCCCTTGGGTCTTGGTTTCCAAATACTAATCTCCAAAGAGGTACCAGGACTACTTGGAGAAGTGATGATTCCTGGGCTGGGGCAGAAAAAAGGTGGGATGAACCTCGAGCATCTCCTGGTACCAGAAAGTAAGAAAGTACTCAAAAAGACTGGGGAGCCCTGGCTGGTGTGGCTCAGTGGCCTGAGTGCTGGCCTGCGAACCAAAGGGGTTTCTGGTTTGATTCCCAGTCAGGCCATGTGCCTGGGTTGCAGGCCAGGTCCCTAGTTGGGGGTGCATGAGAGGCAACCACACATTGGTGTTTAACTCCCTCTCTTCCTCCCTCCTTTCCTCTCTCTAAAAATAAATAAAATCTTAAAAAAAAAAAGAATGGGGATATATTGAAAAGGCAGAGGAAACAACCTGAAAAAGCTAAAGCTGAAATAATTTGACCAGCAAAACAAATTAATGCAGCATTAGGTTATATAACCCATAGAATAAAATAAATATTTATGCAAACATACTTCTATAAATAAACAATTGAGTAAACAAAACAATAACTGGGAAAGAAAGGGCTTCTTTTCCTTACAGAAGAATTCCAGTTTGTAAATGTGGAAGGAATGAGGGAAATAGAAATTCACCATTGAGTCACATACCACAGTTCCTGGTAGTTCTTACAGGCCAGATCCACTGATGGGCATTAAAATTAGTAGATGAAAATTTGAGAAGAAATATGATGTTTGCATAGTCTAAAAATATTTCCCTCAAGATATTTATTAAAAGGAGGAAATAGTAACTTCATACCAGAAAACTGGCAGATACTACTTCGAGTGATGACGACCCTCTCACCGGAAGTTAGACCTATCAACGTCCTCTTCCCTCATGTGCACTGAACGGGCACTCGGCTTCCTTCTGTTTTTGCCAAAAGTGAATAACCTTAGTCTCGTAATAAGAAATCATTAGACAGACCCAAATTGAGGGACATTACACAAATAACCGACTGGGACTCTTCAAAAGTGTTTAGTCATAAAAGATGAGGAACTGTCACAAGTGGCAGAAGGCTAAGGAGATTTGACAGCTTGGGCCAGTGTGGATCCCCGAGCAGAGAGGAAAGGCGATGAAATCGGAAGGAAGTCCATGGTTAGTTTATAGCACCGCACTGTTGTTGCCTTCTGGACGTTTGTAATTATAGTGTGGTTATGTAAGATTTAACATTAAGGGAAGGTGGGTGAAGGGCATATAGTATTTTTGTAAGACTAAAATTATTTCAAAAAATGTTTAAGGTTTTATTTATAGAGAGAGGGGAAGGGAGGGAGAAAGAGAGGGACAGAAACATCAGTGTGTGGTTGCCTCTCACGTGGCCCCCACTGGGGACCTAGCTCACAACCCAGGCATGTGCTCTGACTGGACATCGACCCTTTGGTTCGCAGCCCATGCTCAATCCACTGAGCCACACCAGCCAGGGCTCAAATTTTTTTTTTTTAAAAAAAGGCAAAACTAAACCAAAGAAGTAAAAACTTCAACTCCATGTGTTTTCCCTTTCTCTGCTACACTTACTCCATTCCTCACCTCCCATTCACTACGCAATGCACTCCCATCTAACTTTGGCCTTCAGTTCCCACCAACTCAGCTCACCAACAGCCCCCGAACCGCAGAATCTAATAGATGTCTTCCATTTCTCATCCTGGTCTCTTGTCAGTATGTGGTACCATGGATCAATCCCTTTTGAAACAATGTCTTCTCTTGACTCACCCAGCACATCCATAGTTGGATGATTTTCCTACTTCTCTGATTACTCTTTCTTTAGAAGATTACTCTTTTTTACCTAGTCTTTACATATTACCATTTCTCAATGCTCCACTTAAACTCCTCTTCCAAATCTATATTTAAGCATGAAGTGCTTCTGTTTGTGTTCACAGTTCAGTTATCATGTAGACACAGGTAAATCAGAAATTTTTATCTCCAGCCCTGTATGCCAGCTGCCAACATGACATGCCCATTGAGCCAAAGTAAATTTATTACCCAAAGTGCATTTTAACACCAAATTATTTACTTGACATTGTAGATGCAAAGAAGTGTAAGTTGCCATCTTTGTCTTCCAGGAGCTTACAGTCTAATAATGCAGACTTCGGCCTAATGCAATGGTTAGGGTTGTGGGCCTGAGTTCTGGACCACTGTGTTCAAATCATGGCTCTACCACTAGCAATGAGATGACCTTGAGTGTGTTCTCTAGCCTCCATAGGCCTTAGTTTCCCTTCTGTAAAATCGGGTTAACATATCTTTCCTTGCAGCGTGCTGTGGCGAACATGAAACGGAACAGTGTAAGTTAAAGCACTCAGTGTGCAGACACAAAGTAAACGCTCTCACTGTGGGAGCATTTCTTACAGTAACGGTGGGGAGGTGTCAGAACACAAACTCGCACACGCCATGCCAAGGCGGTTCTGTAAACACCAAGTGTGGGACGAATCCAAAGGGAGGAGCCCTGTGAGCTGGCACGGTTAAGGAGGGCATCCCGGAGGTGGTCAGCCTGGAGGGGCAGATGAGTTAAAATTCTGATTAAAAACAAATTTTGATAATGAGGCAACATGCTATGGTGGAAATAGTAAAGGATCTGTAGCAGGAAAACAGGAATTTAAATCCGGTTTACCTCTGGAGAGTTGTGATTTTAAATGAGTTCACTTTTAAATCCAGGTTTCTTCATGTGTAAATTGTGGACAGTGGTATCTGCTCTGATTGTCTTGTATGGTTGTCAGTAGTAGATGTGAAACTACTTGATGTACAGAGAAAAGGGTATAAATTTCAGGCATTTATTGCTGAACCGGTGTACGTTAGTGGGGAGCGTGGCTGAGAGAGTTGGAAACACCTAAGTCTGAATCCAAGTTCACACTTACTAGCTGTGACCTTCAGCAAGTCACTCCAACACAGAGCTCTAGTTTTCTCATCTCTGAAACAGAAACCGTATGCCTTGCCTCATGTCGTAACTGTTCATTTGCGAGGGCACACTAGTAGCCAAACAGGGTCAAGTACCATGAACTGTGAAGCTGGTACGCAGGGCACTCATTCAGCGGTGGCTTTCATCAAAGCCAGGATTGATTGCCTTAGGATTCTGCGTGTTTAGCACATGTATAAATAACGTGTGACAATGTGACGAATCCTTATTTCAGATCCCATGTTAGATCTGGATATTCAAGAATTGGCCAGTCTTACTACGGGAGGAGGAGATTTGGAGAATTTTGAAAGACTGTTTTCAAAGTTAAAGGAAATGAAAGGTAATCGGACCCATTGTGTCTAACATGTTCCCATACTGATACTCCTTGGTTTTACATCATAGGGCTTTATTTTGTAACTGTTGATTAGATTCTATGCTCTGGTCTCAGCTGTCTTGAGAAACTTAGCTATTGGGAGTCTGTGCCATCCTCTGGTGGTAAAAATTTTCTGGGGAAAATTTTCCTCTTCCTTGATTCTCTTTCCTCGTATTTTCCCTTCTTCTCCTGCCTCTGTTTCTTTCAGTGTGTCTGATTAAAATGGAATCAGGGAGGTCCCTCCCAGTTTACTCACCTCATCCCCACCAGGAGAATTTGGAAGACTTAAACTTCCCTGTAGCTGTAATGACCACACCATACACGTCTCTGAAACCCATCTCCCATCTTCTAGTGTTAGGACGTCCAAACACTCCAGAGTCTCCTGTGCTGTTAGACGAATTTCTTAAGATATATTTTCCCCCTAGACAAGGCTGCGACGCTTCCTCACGAGCAGAGAAAGTTGCATGCAGAAAAGGTGAGACATCAGTCAGGTATTTATTGAGTGCCTGCAGAAGGTCCAGTGCTATTAGAATGATGGCACTTACTTATTAATTGTGCATTTTTACTTCCGAAGTGTCTCAGTGTAAACTTTTCATTGGATTTTTAACATAACTAATTGAATATTTATACAATAGTAACTTCGTTGCTGCAGTCAGACCAAGATTTTTCCAATGTCTGTTGAGTGACATAGAACTTTTCATTGAGACGCAGGATGTTTACCTTCCTATCTGTTGGGCTGGAAAACTCTTACGTTGTTTTGTTATTACCAGCACAGTACATGTTCTTGGCAGGAAACATATATTGTTTGTGGTATTCTATTGTATGAATGTGTCATAATTTATCCAGTTCCCCTGTGGACAGTTAGGTCACGTGTGTGCATTTTTTTCTTTTATAAATAGGCTGCGTGTGTCCTCACACATCAACAATTTGCACGACTCTTTGGTATCCTGAGTATAAATCCCTAGAAGTGAAGCTCCTGGGTCAGCGTAGTCCAGGGTTTTGATATATGGTGCCAGAGGGCTGGAGGGCAGGGTGTAGAATTTTAGGTCTTAGTCGGTTCAAAGTATGACATGAAATGAGTTGAAATTTAGCTGTTGGCTAAAATTTGTTGCACGTTTCTCACCACAGGTTGCCAAAGCCTTCTGGATGGCAATTGGGGGAGACAGAGATGAAATTGAAGGCCTTTCATCTGATGAAGAACACTAAATTATTCATACTAGGGTTTGACTAACAAAGTTGCTCCCTCTGCCTGAGATAATGCCCTGTTCAACCCAGTGATATTTTGCTGAACTTTTCATCATCATGCCGGCTGCCTAACTCATTTGTAGCATCCCCTTGATTTTAGTTTTTAGTAGAGGGTTAAGGAGAGAGTTCTCCTCCCTCAGTGTATTATAAGGGAGTGAGAAGTATAGCAACAGTAAGGACTGAGAATTTTTCCGATACACTTTTTTCTAGGAACGGAGGTGGAATAAGAGGCTCAGAGGCCTGTGTGGTTTGCCCCCGTTGAAGAAGAGTACCCCTCAGGCACCCTTAGTCAGCCTTCTAAGTGATGTGCCCGTGTTCACACTCAGTTACTGCAGATGAGGAGCGTGCGCCACCTCTCCTGGGTGGTCTGGATTTTCTGCTTCCAAGGAACTCACTGCTCTGAACTTCGATGCTTTGGGTGAGAAGAAAGGAAGCAGCTGCCAATTTGATTTGTGCTGTAGTATAGGTGGGGCCCTCAGGTTAGTCTCTAGCTGAAAAAAAAATGCTTCTGGGCATTTCAATGAAAATACAATGTCTGAGCTCACATTAGAAAGTCTTGAGAAGCCAGTGTGAATTTCTAGACCACAGTAAATGAGGCAAAGCCTTCCTACTCTGGTAGGCATAAAACAGACCCCTTTATCAAGTTGTTGGGGGGAGGGAGGGGTTGCCTGTGTTAGAGGCAGAGAAACTTAAATCCCTAAATGGGCCACTGAAACAGTACGTGGTCACATACTAAGATTTTAGCATTAGTGTTACGAACAAACTCTTCTTTCTTGAGTTCTCATGAGATGTCAGGTGTGTTGTCACACTTTATACCCTCAAGAGAAGGCAAGTTTCTTCTTCCTTCTCTCCAAAAAACAGATCACTGCCAAAAAAGTGACACTAAGGAGAGAGTGAGATGGGGAAGGATGTGACTTCCCGAGTACCTCCTGTTACTTCCGGGCTGAGTGGGTCAGCCCAGGGGAACTGACCACCAAAGGGAGAGTTTCCAAAGGAGCAGTGGGAAATACAGCAAGTAAGTCATCCCTGGTGTGGCCTCCGCCGCAGCTGTGCGTGGCAGAGCACACCAGAGCTGGACGGTGTGGAACGTGGGCTGAGAACTGCTCTCGGGCTGGTGCGCTCACTAGCAGACACAGGTTCAGACTCCTCTGGGCACATCTTCCAAGCGCCTTGGAACGAGAGGTGGATGGCAGGAGGAAAGGGTGGCTCAAGCGCCAGTCCAGGACGACCACGGGAGAGAAGGTTTCAGTGCTGGGAGCCGTTTCAGGACACTGGGGAGGCTGTCTTGCTTGGTGACTTTTTTTTTAACTATTCTGAAGGATTATTGAGTCTGTAGTGTAACACCATTCCATCACTGTTTGTTTGGGATGGCTCCGTCCACCATTCATTGGGAATATAAGGGAAGTTGGCTCCCTGTTGCAAAATGAAAGGTGGAACACACTTTTCTTAAAACACGAGAGGTTTCAGGTAATACATTAGGATCACATGGTTACAGAAAACAGATCAGAAAAAGCTGTGAACTTGATTCCGTGGATTAAACAAGCCAGCTGATTAAAACGTGATTTGTTTATAAAGTCTGTTCATGTGTGTTACGATTTCGTTGTCATTCAGTAGAGGATGTATGTGAAGGAGCCTTCCTTCACTGGATTAGGCATGTACGCATGGCAGCCCCCTTCTAGCGGAATAAAAGTATCCAGTGGCGTCTACTAAAGACCCAGGTGAAGAAGAGTGATCATGAGCTAATAGTGCAATAAAAGTTAAAATCTATCTAAAGTAATCTCTGTATGTGCTGTCACAAGTTACTATGAACTGTCCATCTTCGATTTAAAATGAGAGACCTGGGTCTCCCTCCCCACCGGCCCCAGTGTTTCTCTATTTGAGTAAAACACTGGCACATTGTGGGCCCTTAATTTTGGTTTGCATTTGTATTTGATAGTTTGATGAATATGATCACAAAGTTTGAAGGTCCATGAGTGTTGGCAGGTAGGGGAGAGACAAGAATAAACTTCATTCCTTGAGAAAATCATGTGTTATGTAATAATTTTAGAGTGATGAAGACATAGATATTTTTATAACTTTAAAATATGTTATCCTGCCAGAGTATGAGGAGATTGACAGAACTGATTTGCTTGCTCTCTATTTATAGAACTTGGCCACATCTAACTCAGAGAAGCTGGAGGTTCAGGGAAGCTAGACTTAGGTGGCTGAGTAATATGGAATGCGATTCAAGGACCATGGAGCATATAAGGCCATGACTGCAACTGCTCATCACACACGAAACGTGATAGACAGTCAACGTGAAGTTCCTGTTGTGGAGAGGTGGGGATAAACGTGTTCGCCGTGGCTGATGTCGGATGCCCTCAACCTTGGACCAGTCTCGACAGTGACCACAGACACAGAGCGTGCACGTGGAGTGCCCCTGGCCTGCCTTGGCCGGCCGTGGAAAAACAGTCTTAGAAGAATCACTGTCTAAGGGTAAGATGAGAGCTCCAGGAACTATTCTGAGCTTGAGTGTTTGCTGATGCAAAGCTAAATTTAGCAAACACGTGTCTAGTGTGGTCAGAGGTCCTGATTCATTGAACTCTCTGATTGATGGAGACAGAGTTCCAGAGAGTGCTGTAATGAGTTAGAGTTGCCTTTCACCGCTCTCCCCCCAACATTTAAAAATAGATTCAGACAATTCAGCTACAGCATTCTGTCATTAGATATTAAATTTTATTAAAGGAGTGTAGGTAGGGAAAATGTAAAAAAGTCAAGTGTACGCGCCTTAGTACAGGATTGGCTTGAAAGCAACACTCTTAACTTCCCCATAATTTGTATGTTTCATAAAAGTAGCATGTTGACTGTGCTGGGCAAAGTAGTTTTGATTTAGATTCTGGGTTTAGTTTAGTGCTCCATGCTCACACCTTCGGCATGTAATGTCTGGTGGAAAGGGCCTTAGAAAGTCTCTAAGTTTTATATTTTGGGCAATTCCTGGGTGCCTGTTACTCAGTATGTGTGTTACAGTTGCTCTAGCAGAAGCGGCTTGCCCGTAAGTGATAGAGGTAACAGCGACAGTGCGGGCCTTTTGCTGGAACCCCACTGAGTCGCATGGTAGTCCTTACACTTCTACTTTGTTTCCGGTTGGAAAGTACGGATTCAAAACCTGGACTTAATAGCTATTACTGCATCTTTGGAACACAAGTTTGGCAAGAAAAAAACCTTTTTTTCTCTAGACCTCTTTAGTGTACATGTGGATGGACTCAAATACTCTATTCCCATAACTACAGATTCGGGAGGCACAAAAGTCCCCTGCAGCAGTTCATGACCCGCCTGCCTGGTTCCCTCCTGTAAAGAGCGGACAGTCATTGTCTCTCCCCTTTCCCTTATCAATCAGGCGGCTTTAATGCTACAAAATCTCGGGCTCAGTGAGGCCTGGGGTGGGAACGGGATGAAAATGGCAGCATAATTTCAGAGAGAAAGAGTCCCTTGGTTTGAGCCCAGGGGCTTGGTCTGCAGCAATTCTGCTGCTCCGGGAAATTCTCAGGAAGTTGTAAGTGGAGAAGGTAGAGGCCTCAAAGGTGATGAAAAGCAACTAACCTGTTTCTTTAACCTGCTGGAGCAAGGATCCAGGGTCCAGCCAACAATGGCCGGGGACTGTCTTGGTGCCAGGCTGTGCCGGTTGCAGCAGAGGCTGCACACCTGGCAAGGACGTGGCATCTCTGCTCTAGGAGCTCTGGCTTAGGTGGGAGGAGGGGACAAGGAAGGTAAAGGCATGAAAGATAGGTAGTGGGCAGAATGCAAAGGGTGCCCTGAGCAGCCCTAACTGCCGTGAAAAGGAAAGCAGAGTGGGTTGAGAGGAGCATAACATGCACCTTGGAGCAGCAGTGCTCAAATGTGAACCCACATTAGAATCACCTGCAGGGCCCCACCCCAGTTTCTGATTCGGTAGATCCAGGGCAAGGGCCTCAGAATGTGTGTTTCTCATGTCCCAGGTGATACTGATCTTGCTGGCCAGTGACCACACTTTGAGACCCATAGACTTAATTGAGCTGGAAGGATAAGAATTGGGGCAGACAGGTGGAGGTAGGAAAGTTTGTAGTGGAAGTTAGGACACGAACAAAGGTACGGAGATAAGGCAAGGGTTCCGTGGGGGAAACCCCAGCAGTCGGAGGAGTGGTGGCAGGTAAGGACGAAATGATGATGGAGACAGCCTTGAAATCCTACTTTGTGGCACCTGTGCTTACTCTGCAAGTTGAAGAGCCAAGAGGTTGGAGCAGAAAAGACATCTAAACCATAATTACCGTCCAAGGAAGTCTGGCAGTAGTGTCAGGCAGTGCTAATTGCCTGGAGAGCTGTGTTGAGAAGGATTCTGAGGCTGAGAATGGATGCCCTATGAGTAGTGGGTTTACTGTGGATAGAGAAACAGAATGGTGGTCATTTTGTCCCACATTTGCTATCCCTGGACTAGAGGGGGACAGATGAAGAGAATACTGGGCTAGCTATGATAAAAGGTAATCAGGAACTGTATTTTGGTCATATTCCTTCAGCTATGTCTACAGACTCACTTTAGAACAGCACAGTGGAAATGGATGCAAAAGATATTGCTGAGGTAGAATTTACTAGATATGGGCTCTGATTCATTTATTTAACAAAAATGTGTGCCAGCCAAAAAATAAGTTGGAGGAATAAGACACAAACTCTGCTCTGAAGGAACCTGCAAGCAAAAGAAAGAAACTTGCAGCCGAGAGGAGGAGACGGTCATAGGTAACACACAGTTGAGAATGTGGTGGTGGATTCACAGAGGGCCTCCTGGAGATGTCCGAAGTCGAAGTGTTTGTGAAAGTTAGCCAGATGAGCTGGTGGTGCATGTCAGAAAGGCGGGGGCAGGGGCTGTGCACTGGGGAAGCGGAGCAGTGTTCCAAGCAGAGTCTAAAGAACATGTTATTTGTTTGCAGGGTGTAAGGCAGCCAGCTGTGAGAGCTAAATAGGGGCCACATGCTAAAGGTCCAGGGGTCCATGTTAAAGGCCTTAGAGTCTGTGCAGTGGCCGGGTGTGGGGGGGATGTGTCTAAGGCCAGGCGCATGCCTGGCGGTGGTGCGGGTGATGCATTTACAGGCTGGAGGCTGGGAGCGCAGTATGAGCTGGCTCGGTTGTCTGGGTGCCAGAGGAGCTGCTGCGTAGGGCAGTGGCGGTGGGAAACGGCAGACTGGATGTGGGGAGTGAGGGAGGGTGGACGGCTGTGAGCTCTGTGGCTATCTGGTGGGTAAAAGGTGGAGCCAAACATTGGGATGAAGGCCAGAGGAAAGGGAGATGGTTTAATAAGGGCAGTGATGGGTTTGCTTTTTAAATTATGAGTTTGAGCCCTGGCCAGTGGGTTGAGCACTGGCTTGTGAACCAGAAGGTGGCCAGTTTGATTCCTGGTCAGGCCAGGTCCCCCAGCTGGAGACACGTGAGAGGCAACAGATCAAGGTTTCTCTCACATCAGTTTCTCTCCATCTTCCTGTCTTGTAAAAAATTAAATAAAAAATATGAGTTTGGAGTACTTGTGGCACTTCCACGTACCAGTGACCAACAGCCTATTGGCTGCAGGTCTGAAGCCTGAGGTGGGTGTCTGGGCCGTAAACACTGATTTGCGAGTCATTAGCGTTTATGTGGCTTGAAATCACGCAAGTAGATGAGATCAGTTGAGGAGGAATGTCAAGAATACACACAATGGCCTGGGAACACCAACCCAGAAGGAGTACGCAGAAGAGGGAGGTGCAGGCCCAAGAGAAAGAGGCGGCTGTGTGAGAGGGCCAAGCGGAGCCCGGCCATTCAGGACGCCGGGCCTTTCCGACAGGGAGGTTTGATCCGTGGGCAGCTGCAGGGGAGGTGATGGAGAGCGAGGACAAGACGTGCATGGAGCTGCTCAGGACTCGGAGAATGGGGGAGATAGAGCCAGGGAGAGGCTGCTGCTGAGAATGGGCGATCAGGACAGCGGGCTGGCTCAAGTGCGGGGGAAGATGCTTCGGTTTGGGGGCATGTGTTCAGATCGTGTTTAACAGGTGGCTGGAATTTAAAGTGTGGAGCTCAAGGGGCAGAGGCAGTTTGGGCTAGAGGTGTGGGTTTGAGAGTCGTGTGGAGAAATACAGACTGGGTAAAACCTTGGGGAAATAAGAACCACAAAAATAGGGATTCAGTGCAGTTCCTGGGGGCCAGTTCTGTGGGCCCACGGGTGCCGTTCCTGTGAAATCTGCCTCCTCCTGGTGTGGGCGGCGTTCGGACTCTGGGGAGGGCCTTCGAGGAAGGCGCCGTAGAAGTGGTCCAGCTAAAAGACTGTGGCAGCCCCATTCCGTCCTCCTCCTCCTCCAAATTGTTTTAATTACCCAGTTTTTTAATCCACATCATGTGGGGTCAGTAAGATTCAGCCAAGAAGACAATTTTGAAGTCTCTGTCTTTTCCAGAGTTTCAAATATAAAATGAATCTCCACAGGAGCTAACAGAGTCATCTGAGCCGGACAGTGTGGAAACCTACTTGTTTATGAATCTGAAACCACCTCCATGCCTGGGGGAAGATTAATCCGGTGGCCTCTCACCATTTGCCAAAGTACAGGGAAAATGAATGCAAAAATGAGAATGCGGAGGCAGCCCGGTGGGACCTGTGTGTGGTGCTTCAGTGTGGGGAGCCGGGGAGGTGCTCCAGTGGTGGGACTTCGGACCAGTGCTTGGCTGACTGGGGATCCTGCTGCTGCCGAAGGGCTGGCTGGCACTGCTTGTTGCCCTCGGTGAGTGAGTGAGCTCAGTGGGGTGTTACACGAGGCTCTGGCAGAAAGTGGCTTGGCACGTCCTTGGTCAAAGTGCATTTGAGCTTAGATGCATTGTTCCCTGGGACCCCACGGGGTTCCCCTGTAAATCCCCCCACCAAGACACCGCAGCAAGAATGAGACTGAGCTCCTGGTGCAGGAGCTTCTCAACAAGAAGTTTATTAGAAGGGCACTTACAGGGGTAAGAGAAGGACAGAGAGGACACAGATCTTGAACAATAGTACAACGCTTCAACGGGTGCTCTGCTCTTAAGATACAAAAGTTAGAAAAATCTAAACCACTATAAATACATACGTGCTTTTTACAAGGCATTAAACAGTCAGGCTAGGCTGGCCGAGACGTGAAGGCAATCAGCATCGTGCGTGTTCTATTCTGCATCAAGGGCCCCCATCAGAACAGCCCAGTTGCAGGGCTGAGAGTGAGTGAAGGCGTCTTGGAGAAAGGAGGCCCCGGCCCTCCGCGTAACGTTCTCGCCCTGGGAAGGGAGAGGACTCGGAGCTGCCTGTTGTCACACGTTGCGACGTGATTGGCGAGCCTGGGCTGGTGTGTCTGGACGCCGAGCCAGAAAAGCCTCTGCCCTCAACCCACATTCAGAACTGGCTGTGCCTCCCGCTCTTCCCAGCCACTGTCCTTGGGAGGAGAGACCTTTCCAAGTTTCTTCAAAAAAAATTTAAATAGTTGTCTGTCTTGAATGGGTTTAAGAAATCATTACATAAATATAAAACACCAGGATGCGAGAATGTACACTACTTGAGCACAAAAGAGAAAATGAATCACAGAATCACTGAGAATTTCTCGATCCAGTTTACATGATCGGCGAGTTCTGTTTCTGCGGCGCTGCCTGGACATCAGGTCACCCCCACCGACTGCCAGCCTCTGTCAGAGGCGCCGCCTCTGCATTTCTGACCCCGTCGTCCCCTATGTGAATTCTGCTACTCTCCCACCCACTTGAGAAGTAGCTGATACTCTTTAAAAGGCTGACATACACTTTGAAGAGTGTTACTTGAAGGGGTTCTAGAAGGGAACATTTATGCCACACAAAGAAAAATGGTACAACTTAGCTGTGTTAAGTTGAGGTTTTCTTCTAAGAAAGTGGGGACATGTGGATTTTGGGGAAACTCCCAGCTCTGCCACTTGAAGTCACACAGTAAGACACGAGGTCCAGAATTGAACTCGTGCCCTTTCTTGCTACTGGTAACCCCTGGTTAACAGGCCCCGGAGCAGCCTGCAGATTCCTTTCCCTCCCTCCCCTTAAGGACTGGAGAGTGGCCTGTGAGCGCTGCCCCGCCAGAGACACGTTGGGAGAGCTGAGCGCAGAGATGGCAGCTTGGGGCGACGGTGAAATCAGATGCCTGTCTTCTCCCCAGGCTGCTCATTTGCATGCTCCACATGCACACACTACTTAAAGAAAACCTTTTTCTGCAGTTCTGAGTAAAAGCATTTAGCCCTGGAATATGTCCAAACTCTAGGAAGCCAAGGGGACATGGAGAAAAAAACAAAACAAACTAAGCACAAGATGCGTGCTACAGCTCATTCCAATACATTAACAATGATTTTAAAAAAATAATCACGGTCAGTAAAAAAAATACAACACAGACAACATAAGGACAATGGAGAAGTCTGCCAGCAGCCTTGCCCTCATGTGTGTTCTTCCTAAGAGTCAAAGTCCCCGCTCCTGACTCTAGGCTTGTCTCAAAATGTCAGATCTCCTACAGCCTGCCAGGAAGGTGGCCAACTGAGATGATGTTCCAGCACAGGCCTGAAACCGGAACCTGCTGGGGTGGCTACCTACGTTTACGCTGGAAGGACCTAAGTTACTAAATAAAGTTTGGAAGGGGGACATGGGGGAGGGGAGGAAAGGGACTACAGGTTGGCTCCCAGGGAAGGTGCTGAGGCCGTGGAGGACGGAGTGAGCCCCAGGGCCCACTACTCTGGGTTGCAGGGTGAAGGCGACTGGGGAGGGAGCCCATGGCAGGGGACAGCGCACGCGTCGTGGGTAGCCTGGACAAGCACACTTAAAATCACTGTCCAACAGCTACTGTCCCCTCTAGAACTGCCCTTACTTCCTCGTGCCCCTTTCAGCTGTCCTTTAAAAAAGTTTTAAGCTGTATAAATGCCTTTCATACAACATGGTTTAAAAAATAAAGCTAGTTTTGTGACAAAGGACACTAATATCACACATGCCCCAGGGCACCTACGCAGCCTCAGTGGATGGGGATGGTGCCGCCAGGTCCTAACCTGTAGGTAAGACCAAATTTATTTCCCATGGTGCCAAAAGTGGGCTTACCTACGTTTTCCTCACACTGCCTCCATCAGCAGTCTAGTCTATAGAGAAAAAGGACCAAGTAAGTAGCTTTCAGAAAACAAAGCATTGCGGGTTCTAAGACACCATCTAAATGTAGCCACATGCGACCACTGGATCGCCAGAATTGGGCTGTACCTGAAGCTAGTTGCCGAGTACCTGGAGGACAGCTGTGTGCTGCGGGAGCAGGGACCAGGTGGCAAACGCAGGCCCTCAGAAACCGCTGCCCATCGCTATCAGGAGAGGCCACGTGGAATCATGCGTACCAAGTCTCGGGCCTGAGCCGGGGTGCGGGCGCACATCCAGGAGGTTCTCATGGCTTCCTGTGTCTGTAAGCAGCAGTCCACAGACGGGTTCACACTGGGCACAAACTTCAGACACAGTGTTGGGTCCTCGGGGGGATTGAGGCCTTTTGCTTGGTCTCTGTATTCTGTGTCAATGGTCCTGTGAGAAGACTAGCACAGGCCTGGCCAGGTGTTCCTCCTGCCTCCTTCTGTGTCCTCGGGAGACTTGGCGAGCAGCTCTCCTACCTGGAAATTTCAAGGCTGGAGCTTCAGAGGCACAGGGTCCTGCAGGTGAGGCACCAGGAAGCCCCCAGCATCTCCATATAGCGTCAGAAATGTCATCACATTTGAGGTTAGTAACCTGCCAAAAGTACACACTTTCTTCCCTTCACCTGGAGTTAAGACAGGACTTCCATAGGAAATCCCTTTATTTTTCCTGGTAGAAATTCATGCAAAAATATGGGGTAAGTCATTTCATACAAAAACAGCAGCAAAGAATAAAGTACCATTTCAATTGCAAGTGGCAATTCTGTCTGCTGTATTCTGCAAAAGGGCCTTTTTTTTCCAGTTGAAATAATTTATAATAGTTTTCTCACTAATTGCCACTGGGAGCAGTACTTATTATACAATATAACTGCTAGAGTTGGCACTGATAACCCTCTGCCATGAACTAGATAATCTTATACCCCAGGGGGAAGATGACAGACCTCTTTGCACCAAGCCTGCAATTTTCAAAGGTGTAAAAAAAATGTAATAGCCCTTTCATTTGCCTCGTTGGCCTGAGATTTCTCCCTTCTGGTGAATTCGCCCCTGTTAAATCAGCCTGCAGAACTGCTGGCAGGTGTCTTCTCAACGAAACCTGCAAAAGCTTCACCTGGGAGAGAAGTTGCTGCCTCCCACTCTGCATTCCCACTCAATGCACCAACCCAGGATTTAAGCATGAAACAAACATTAAAAGAGCACATGATAAAGTTCATTTAATTAATGCAACTGACTACATAAACCAATAGCCAAATGCATGAGAATACAAAGTGAGCTCTTAACGACTGGAACCCATGCAATGTAGTGCTGCCTTAGCCAGAACAGGATCGCTCCACAGTGCCTCCTGCTTTAGGTGAATACCTTCCATCGTTCAAATCTCTTTGAGATCAATGTGATAAGCTATACATTGCAGATGCTCTGAGCCTCAGCATATCCTTTGAACTGCTCCAACTGAGAAAGGGCACATTTAAGAGCATTTTGAAAGAACAGGTCTCTAGCTTTTCCCCCCTGCTGTGGGTCCCTAGTCCGAACACACCGGCACCCCCCAATCAGGTCGCTCTGAGGGGGAGGAGACACACAAGTCCCGCCCACCCCAATCGTCAGTCCAGCTCGGGTGCTCCGCTACAAGAGTGCTGGGGCTCACTGTGCTCAGTTCGAGAGAGGCCGCTGTCAGAGTGCCAGAGGGCCGGTTAGGAGGTTTGCTCACACCCCTGCAGGCCTCTTCCTACCTGGAACACTCAAGGTGAACACCCTGCAGTCCTGCACAGAGGGCCATTTCCCATTGGACAGTGACACCCCAGACTACTGTCATTAAAAAAGAAGGGGACTGAGGGGAGGGGGGCAGGTGGTGACACACTACCTGTTTGCTCAAGCCACCAAAGCAGAAGCCATTTCTTGCCCTTCAAACTGAGGCCAGAGGGCAAATGTGTTCAGCGGGCACAGCTGTTCATAAAATCCATCTCTAGGTTTGCTTTTGTGTTTTGGAGAACAGGTTGGTGCCACTTTGGTTGAGGGAGAAAAATTTCTTCTTCCTTGGCAACAGTGAGTCAAGTTCCAATTGTCTCCACTTCCTACATGGCCATCTACCCAAGCCCGCCCTCCCCGCCCCGCCCCCTCCTCACCCCATGTCTCTAAGACACACTGGAACAACGGATGCTTGGGGAGCCCATCTGGGTGAGGACCTTGTCAAGCCACTGCAAAGGCCCATTCAGGTGCAGCTCAATCCAGCAGGGGGTGCTGGTCACTGTCTGTCTCCTACAAGACACAGGGAAAGGAAAAAAGGGTGGGAATTTTTTAAAATGTCTAGAAGGACATACACACAGAAGTCAGGACACTTTTTCCTGCTTTGGTGACAGTCTTCTCCCGAGACCCAGAGATAAGTCTTGCCTTGCTAGACCCCAGTGGCTTAGAGGAACTTGCTGAATCTGCCCTGCCAAAGCCTTCCAACCAAGAACTTTGAGTGAACTGGGTTCCTGTGATGGGGAAGGAGCTGGCCCTTCAAGAGTTAAACACAGGAGGCGAAGTCCAGGGTGCCCCAGAGGCCCACGGTGGCTGTGACAGGCTCCTGACAGCCAGCCCCCACCTGTTGGAGCGGGCACCTCGGCCGCCCAGCTCCGGCCCGGCCCCAGCGGGCCGCGATGACGTGCGTCTGTCTGACTGAGGGGTGTTTCTCACAAGGTGCCGACAGGGCCCGCATGCCGTCGGTTCCCGACGTGCTGATAGAACTCCCATCTCTGGTCTTATTTTGGAAAATCTTACGAGCAGAGCGAGCCATGAAACAATTACTGGAAAAAACCAAGGCACACCACACGTTTCTTTTCCCCAAAGCACTTTGTTAAATTCAGGCTGGTTGGTGACGCAGCTCACGGGCGAGCGCCCAAGGCCTCCCCCGAGCGAGGGCTATCTGCTGAGGCCGGAGGCGCTGGTGCCAGCTGGGGGTGAGCGGCCGGGCCCCGGGCCTGCTCCCGGCCACCTCACAGAGAGACGGGATGAAACCCTACTCTCCTTGGCCCAAGAGGCAGAAGGAGGGCAAGACTGTTCTGGGAAGGGGCCGCACCCACCAGTTAGGCCGCTCCGTGACGTGCCAGGTGGCAGTGCCGAGGTGGGCCGCACCAGACTGGACGTGTTGGCACCGTGCTCCAGTCCCCTCCCCCTCAGGGACAGGCCTCCGCCACCAAGGGGCCTCTTCCCGGCACTTGAAGCAGGAGGGGTGCCACACCAGGTTGAGGGCCACTGGCGGGAGGGCAGCGCCCTCCTGGCTCCCCTCGGTGGAGGGCTGGAAATGGGCTTGCCGACTCAGCCCGTGCCCGCCTGGTGCCCGAGCGTGGCCCTCGGGCTGCGGTCTGAGTGTCAGAGCAGCAGTGCACCACCCCTCGGTTCTCTCCCTTGGGTCCATCTTTAAATATTTCCCTGCCCTGCTAAAAAAAAAAAACATACTAATTTTCTAACCTTTCAACTCTTGTTCCCCAGGCGATTCCAGTCAGGGCTAAGAGGTAGGCTAAAGCGCCCGCTGGGTGAGGCCTTGGGGCCTGGGCCGACCCCTCCAGGCCACTGCCATTGTGCTGTCAGTTATCCCGCGATCTGACCCCTTTAGTTGCTCAATTGGCCACTCATCCTGGATCTCAGAGAGACCCCCACAGACCAAGGTGCTTTGTCCCCTGGCACCACGGGGCAGACGCAGGGAACAGCAGCTCAAATACGGTAAATACAAGAGGAGGATTTTACGGACCAAAATCCTCTAATGAGAATCTGATTTTCCATAAGTCATGCTCATCTGGATTTCATTATAAACGGTGGCCCGGAGCCAACACTGAAATGGGTTTGGCTTGGGTGCAGAATGACTGCAAAACAAAATGGATTCCAAACATCTGGAAAAATGAAGAGAAGGGGGGAGTAACTTGCAAGATGCTGGCTCCCGCGGACGTGTGGGTACCTCCGCGTCTGCCCGGGGGGCTGGGGGGTAGGGGGCACCCCCACATGGAGCAGGAGGAGGGGCACGCAGCCCTGTCTTTCAGGAAACTCCCATCCAGGTGTGAGAGAGAAGGGGCCCGATTCTCTAAGCCCAAACCAGGTCGGTCTGAGAGACTCGGCAGAGCAGACCAGGCCACAGGCCTTCACCAGTGCTAGGGTTAAACCCACATCTGAAATTCTGAAAGACACTGTTTCCCTTTCTGAGCAAGTCAGCCTCGTTCCTTTATGGCTACCCAAATCTCTTGGTTCCCCTGCTCCTCAGTCATTTCATACTCCAGATGCTCGGGCTCACCTGAGTCAAAGGAACCACAGACGCGGGAAGGAGCACGGGAATGAGAGCCCCTGGACAGGGTCGTCTGAGACCCATCTGCCCACAATGAACCACGAGGAGGAAGCCAAGAGGGCATGTCCTAGGTTCAGCCTTTCCACCAACGATGTGATTTCGGGTAAGTCACTTTCCCTCCCTGGGCCTTAGTTCCCTCATCCATAAAACAAGGATGATGCAATGTCCCCACCCAGCACTGTGGCGAGGGTGACACGGAGTCGTGTGTGAGGCGCTGTGCCAACACTGCTCGGCTCTTCCTTGTCCAGAGTCACTCTGCCCTTCAGTCCGCCCGCTCGCAGCCTCTCTCTGGTCCTTGTCTGTGTTCGGGCGGGAGCTGGCCTCGCTTGTCCCTGAGGAGCCCCCGCTCTGCCGTCTGAGTCCCCTGTGGTTCCCGGGCCCCAGGCCATGTGGCCCCCCAAAACTGACCTGTACTCTGCTCCCCAGCCTTTGACAAAGCTCATGCGGATGGTGCACATGCGCGTCAGCTGGTAGACGGCCTCGAAGCCCTGGTTGACAGACTGGGCCAGGAGGGCGGCGAACTCCTGGTTGTTGAAGATCTTCAGGTTGCACCCTGCCAACGGACCAGAGACGCTGCTCGTGAGGACAAAGGGCGGAGGTGTCGGTGCTCCCCTCCGGGCCAAGGCCATCCCTGGGTCACCAGGATGTCATAACCCACGCGACTGAAGTGACACACATACTCCACACTCAGCCCCATGCTAGCGACGGGCCCTCTCAGTCCCTGTCCGTGAAGCCATCACCACCTCAGTGGGCAGGCGCAGCTGGTTTATGTGACGGGGGCAGAAGTAAACACTGGCCTGGCAGCTCCGGCCCCTAGCACTCCGGGGATGCTGTGGAGGACAGTACAGTGGGCTGCCAAGAAGAAGGGGGGTGACTGGAAGGCGGGAGGTGCCTTCCCTGGGCCAAGGGCCCAAGGCAGGACCTCCAGGGAACAGAGAAACGAGGGCTCTAAGCCAGAATGCCCACAGCTGAATGGGGTCCGGCGGACCACCGGGGCAGAACGAACGCCTCGCCCAGGACAGAGGAGCGCGGCTGAGACAGGCTGGCCGAGGGGCTGCTCAGCCTGCCGTCCCGCCAGGAAGCTCCGCGCGGGGGCCCAGGGCACCTGCTGCCCAGCTCCTCTGGCGAATCCACCTCATGTTGGGCCGGCAGGGAGTGAGGACTCTGGGCCACATTTTGGCCTCTGGGCACAAGGCTGGGATGAGGTGACACCCACAGCAAAGCGAAGGTGCGTGTCTAACTCTCCAGGCAGTAAAACTAGAGAGACAGGCACCAATAAAGTTTATAACAAATCTCGTGTTTGAAGTCCTGCCGGCGGAGTGCCAGGAATGTGTCCGCCAGAAAAATAAAGACAAAAGCACATGTTGCAAGCGCCCAAAAGGTGAGCTGGGGTGACATTTATTAATGGGCCAACACTAATCTGGCTGTGTGACTCTGGACTGGTCACTTTCTCTTTGTAAGCCCGTGTCTCCTTTACAAAATGAGGGGCTGGCCTCAGGGGACCCAAGCTCTCACATTCTATGAGCTGACAACCACCACCAGAGCCAGCTCAGCCCTCACCGAAAAGATGGGGGGAGGGCCAGGCATGGGAGTGGGCGGAACGCCAAGAACGCAACCCGGCTTCCTCTCCAGCTTTCTCCAAGGGGAAGTGTGGTGAGGCAGGGCCGAGGCAGGCTCCGGCCTGAGCCGAGCCGAGGACGGGCGAGCACTAGACTCGGGAGTCACACAGTCAAACCTGGGCCCGCCCTGGCTCAGCCACTTACTATCTGGGTATCCTGGGGCAGGCGGCTTTACCTTTCTAAACTCATGTCCTCAATATGCCTCCTCACCTGAAGAGCCAGAATAACCGGACAGGACCGAGAGCAAAGATGGCAATGTCCTCTGTAGAGGCAGCCCCGTGATGCTCTGGAAACGCAGGGCACCGTTACCATTTCGGTGTCTGCTGTTCTTAAGCTGGCCCTGCCCATAGCCCACGGCTCCACTATCATCTGCTGCTCAGCGGGCAGGAAGAGACAAGCCACCCTTGCATCACGGTCGACAGCCTGACCTGCCCCATACCGCTGCCAGCCAGTCACAGTCCACGCTTTGCTGGCTGCGTGCCCCGTGACTTCATGCCGTGTGAGAAGTGGGCTTTGGCTGGGGCTGTCCACCCCGGTGTTCTCAGTAAAGAGGCCTCAGATGGGATCAGCCTCCTGCCTGGCCTTGCTCCCCAGGCCTGGCCCTGTCCAAGCCACCATGTGGGGTATAGCCTGCCACCGCTTCTTGAAGTACGCGTGGGATTTATTGGCTCTGCTCAGAAAACCCTCAAGAGCCCCCCAGGATAAAAGCAGAACTTCTATGTGCTTCCATGGCCTGCTCCCATCACGCTCTCTGAACATTTCCCCCGACTGCCTTCTACACAGCCTCCTCCAGCCTGGGTGCTGTCCATACGTGCCCTGCCCTCCATCAGCTCAGCCCGGAAAGCCCTCGAAATTCTTGCCCCACCCTCACCCTGGGCCTGTGCCTCCCCTCCACGAATCTGTCCCAACAGTTAAATGTGTTTTTCCTCCTGGGCTCACCTGATGCTTAGTACTTCCCCCGTATTAAACCCACTTGTGTCTTTGTCTTGTATACTTAGCTGGTGTATAAGGTCTGTAGAGAGAACAGCAGGGCCTCCTGCATCTCTCCTTCCCTTACAGCACTGCATGCCATGCATGTTCGTGAAAGGAAGGAAGGAACTGCCCAAGCATCTATGCACACAGGGCCCAGAGCAGGTACCCACAGATCAAGGGTAGATCCGTCAGAAGCTGCGTCTGCTCCCTGGAGGGTCAGGGAGAGCACAGTTACGGCACGGAGAAGACCCAGGCAAGCCACCCCAAGGCTGGCAGTGAGCATCCTGGTGAGGAGAGAATGTCAGGAAAACGATCCAGCAACACAGGCATGGGCTGCGGGGGAGAGGAGCTCAGGGAAGGGGCAGGTGTAGAGGTGTTGATACCTGGTGGGATCTTGCAGACAGTGGCCGGGTGCCAGCCGTAGCGCTGGTTACAGTTGGGGGACTGCACGAAGATAGCGCTGTCGCTGAGGCACTCTGCGAAGACCTCCCCTCCGATGTAGTACAGCCGCACGCCCCGCCCTAGAGAGAGTCCGGTCAGACCAGGCCAGGGGGCTGCCCCACACAGTGGCCCCGGGCCAGCTGTGGGTAACGAAGGGGCAGAGCTATCGAAACTCCAAGCGACTAGTTCTTTCCAGCTTCTCCAGGCACATGGGACCCAGAGCCCAAACCTAAACCCGCACAGAGGACACGGTGGACGAGGCTGTCTGTGTTCCTAAAGCCAGAGCAGGCAGGCGGTGGGAGGAAGAGCATAAAGTAGGTCTCCATGACAGCCTCTGCCACTGACCAGCCACACGCCTCAGTCCGGTTACTCCGAGCTCTGAGCCTAAGTTCAGATGGGGACAATAATCACACCTACCTCACCGGGCGGTTGTGAGACACACAGGAAGTGCCAGCCGAGTGCCAGCTGTACTCTGCTGCTACTAGGTCCCCTCCTCTCTGAGATTCCGAAATTCGTTCAGTGAACCTGCAGAGCGTCTCCCGAGGCGGCAGACACCCCAGAAGCCCTGTACTGCAGGGGTGACTTAGTCCCACCCCTATGCTTTCCTCACCTCAGTGCATTTTTCTAAAACATTCCATAGGTTTCTATCACTTACTTCTCCTTCATCTCTTAAATACACTCCAGATGGACAGAAAGTATTTTTAAGTTGGCTGTGCCATTCAAGCAGTTCCGTAAACACTCCGACAACGAGCTCTCCGTGCAGCCAGGGCTGTTCCCTTCCCCTACAGCAGAAGGGCTCGGTTCCCACTTCTCGGGAGGAGGCCCAGAGGGCTGGAAAATGGAGCCAGGTTTCACCAGCGCAACGTCAAGTAGAATGGAAACCAGGCAACAGACCAAGGGGCCACTGGAGGTTCGCCCTGTCTCCTCCTGGTGTTACCGTGCCACCCCCCACCTGCTCCCCATTTCCCCCGGTGCGGTGTTACCGCGCAGACTCGGGGTGCCCAGGGTGGAGCCTCTGCGCTCTGTCCATCAAGAGCGGGAGGCGGAGGGGGAGGGGGAAGCTCCAGACCAAAAGAACAAAAACGTTTGTTTTCTTATGGCAACTTTTGAAATATTTTAAAAATATACAGAAAAGTGTGAAGAGAGTCAGTCACACCCAGGATGTGTCTTTTTTGAAGTAAAAAAAATGGGGAGGCCATCCGGGAAGGATGGGGCTCAGGGGCAGGGGCCTGTTGGTCACTGACTGGGTCCCACTTGCTGTCTGGTCCCTGCAGGGCTCAGCCCCTTCCTGGTTATCAGATTACTCCCCGGAAAACGAGCCCTAAGGTCTAAATCGTGGCTTCCAAACTTTTCTTCTCTCAACTAAGAAACCTTCTCTTCAAATGAAATCCTCCGATGATGCCCAAGATATAAGGCAGCAGTGCTCCGGCTCACGCGGGCCAGACCCACGCCACCCTGCCCAGCTCCCGGCTTTGCCCCGAAGCCCCTTGACCAGCCTGGGGCTGGGGACGGTGCCTGAGAACCCCCTGCACCCCCTTCTCAGTGACTCTGGGTCACAAAACTGTGACTCTCCTTAGTGTGATAATCCCATGAGCAAACCCAGTGATAAACATTAAGGCTTCATTTTCCCTAAACAAAATGACCTTTCGCTACGTTCTGGGTGTCGGAAGACAGAGCAGCAGCTGCAGCCGCAGCAGCAGCGGTGCCCCAGCCGTGGACAGTTCTTCTCTCTCTACCTTAAGTTTTCTGGAATAATCATAATCATGTATGAAATTAATGACGAAAAGATCACACATCACACTGACTACCCACTTACCCACTATCAGTAATTTAAGTTTGTATTTATTAAGAGAAGTGTGCATGTTGCCTTTCTTATAGATTTCCCTTTCTTGTTCCCTTAAGCGAACTGTTTCCCTCTGCGGCTTGCAAATGTTCAGAGCTGATCTGTCTGTGTCTCTGAGTGAGAATGACCAAGCAAACTGAACTCTTTCCCTCAGGCCCCGAAACAAGACAATACAAAATCTGGGGGTGTGAGGGGGGTGAGTCCTTGCCCCAATTCCCAGCAGGAGGCAGAGCCCAGTGGGGGTGGTTTGAGTTCTGTGTGGAGGCTAAACTGGGGCCGTGGGGTGGGGGGAGTGAGGGAGGAGCAGCGGCCCCCTGTCCCTTACCGATGTGCCTCCGCGTGAGCTCCACGGCCGCGTTCCTGTTGACGTTGGAGAGCAGCCCTAGGCAGAAGCGCTCGGAGTTGGAGGGGTCGGTGAAGCCGTCCACGGTCATGGATGGCTGCGAGGCGTGGAATGTCTCCCCGACGCGCTGGTTCAGCTCATAGTAGGAGATGGAGCACCAGAAGGCTGGCTCGCAGTAGGTGACAGGCTGCAGGTCTAGGAGACAGGCCAGGCTGCTGCGTCAGCAGGACCCCAGGCTCTGGCTCCTCCGTGGGGTCCCCTGGCAGCTCCAGCAGACTGTTTCCTTACCTCCCCGAGGGCTCTGTAACCCCTGCCTTCATGCCTTTTATTGTCTAAAACTTGCAGGATCCGAATACACAGGTATTTGGAGAAATAGTCCACCAGGCCTGCCTTACTTCACTGAGTTTTAGCTCACAGAGGCCCTGCCCTGCCTGGCCTGGCCTTGGGTCGAAGCAGTCTTCGGGGAAGTGCTGGGCCAAACCCAGAAAAAACTAGACCCCAACCAACACCCAGGCAAACCCACAGCTAGGCCCAGTGTGCTCCCTGCTGCTGGGCCACGCCGCCACCTGCACCGTCACCCGCAGCCTCTTCAAAGTTCCCCTAAGTAACCCACTCCCCAAGAAGGGCTTTCTACTTCTGGCTCTGCCAGGTTTGGGGAAAACTCCTAGCCTGTCAATCAGCAGTGTGCAAGCCTTTAAAATGCCGCAGCCCAGGGGTTTGTACGTTGTGCTAAGTGTCGGCGACCACGCAGGCACCAGGCGCTGTCTCCAGAGTGAACCGGGTCCGCATCTCTTACCGCAGAACTATCTGGTTTTCTTTCTCACGAGAAATAGAGGTTCTCCCCCTCACGTGATCCCACTTGACTCCCTGGCCTTCTTGTCATCTGCTGTTCTGGGCTCCCCAGCGGCCCTGGCACCCAGTCCTCCTCCTGCCCACTGCACTGTCTCTCACCTGAGTGCCCCTGTCCTCTTAGCCCTGGGCCGGCACTGGTCCCTCCTCATTTGCGTCAGGGCCCCCTGTCCTACGGGACTCCCCAGTACCAGCTGCTTCCTGCACTGCACTGTCCCACTGGTCTGGGAGCACCAAGTTCCACCACATCTTGCTCTCTGCCTGTTTGAATCCTTCCCGTTGGTTGGAGAATCAGGACCCTCCTGCCCGTTCTCGCCCCTGTATCTCGGACCTCCAGCCTGGGTCCCTCACTCTGGCTCTGACCTATCTTCGGAGCTGCCTGGTGCCTTAGGTGCACCTTTGTGGCAGCTGGTGAGAAGGATCGGAAGGACTTGCTAGGCCGAGTCTCAGCACTGGCCTGAGACCCCTGCTTCGTGCCTGCCAGGCAGCTTTCCAGGGTGAGAACCCACCAGAAACCTCTGCTCACCAGACCTTGGAAAGTGGGTAAAGTCCAAAACAGAAAAACCAAAAGTTGTTCTGTGAGGGGTGCCCTGGGTGCCTTTTCCCTGGGTGCCCCCTGCAGGGAAAGTGGCCCTAATTGCCTTCAGGGGTCTACGCCCATGACCCCTTCTGAGGGTGGAGACAGCTACCACCCACGGGAGGTGTTGCAGACCGTAACTTACATCCACCCTTGCACCCAATGCACACCCAGAGAGTGTCCTCTGGAGGGTTAGGATACCTAGACTGGGCTTCTCAACCTTGGCATCACTGACAGTCTGGGCTAGATACCTCTCTGTTTGGGGCAGGGAGCCTCTGCACATTGTGGGATGGTCAGCAGCATCCCGGGCCTCTGGGCACAGGATGCCAGTAGCACCCATCCATCTCACCTTCCCAAGCGGTGTGATAATAAGACATGTCTCCAGACATTTCAAGGTGTTTCCTAGAGGACAAATGGCCCTGGTTAAAAACTACTGCCCTAGATGTTAACCAGGTCACGGAGCACAGGCGTTCAAGTCACAGGACCAGAGTTCGCTCTCTGCTCTGGCAGGGACCAGCTGTGTGACTGGGAGCAGACCAAGTAAACTCCAGGCTCCAGCTTCCAGAGCAGAGCAGGGCCACCAGAGCAGAGAATCTTTTTTACCACCAGGTGCTGTTTGTGGATGAACTGAGATCATTCATCCCTCCTTACTTGCCTCAGAGCATGCATCAAACACTCCACAAATGGCATTAACAATAGTTATAATAACTTTGATTATCTGAACTTGAGAAAGCCCTGTTCCTGCTGCCCTCCATCAGGAGAGGGGCAAAGCGTCCTTGCCCCTTTCGTCTCTTCCCAGGGTGGAGCGAGGGAAGAGGAGGTAAGGCAGGAGATCTAAGCTGCTCAGTGGGGAGTGGGGGGTGGTGGGGCAGGAGTGACCGTGGCCTGTGGCCTGTGCCCCTGAAGTTGAGTTGAACCACGTCAGCTGCATCCAGCTCTGGCTTTGCCGGATGCTTCAGCATTCCAATGAGATAAGCTATACTCTAAACAATGTTGTCACTAAAATGTGAGCTATGTTGCTTTGGAAACCTCAAGAAATAAATAAATCCAAGTGCAATTCAAGCATTCAAAGTGGCTGGGCAACACGTCAGGGCCAGAGGTACAGGGGAAGGGCTGCAGGCTGCCCCTGCCCGCAGGCAGGCTCTGCTGATCATGCTGTGTGACCTGGGGGTGTGACCGCCTTCTCTGGCCTCACTTTCCCTGTCTGTATAGTGTCTGCAGCATACTAGAAGTCACCTAAGGCAGACCACCTAGGCCACTGAGCTTCTGGCATGAGTTGGCCTTAAGGTGCAGCTGTGGCTAATCTGGCCTGGTGCTGGCTTCCCTGGCCAAGTGCAGAACCAGAGTCCTCTCCCCGAAGTGTAAACCCTGGTCCAGAACCCCCTGTGCTTATCCCAGGCAGAAGAAAGATAGCTAGTTCCCAGGAACAGACGCAGCCCACCTATCAAAAGCCATCAGGCCACCCATCTGGTGACCTGGTGCTGAGACCTCACTCTGGAGAAGTGGGTTCAGGATGTGTCAGAATCAGAGAGGCCTGGGAACCTCCCAAGTAGATCTGAGCCCTTATCCAAACATCCCCGTGACTCGCAGACACATACTGGATGCGGGAGCCAACTCATAGCTACAAAGATGCCGGTGTGAAGGAGCAGTGCGGGCAGGCCAAGTCGGCCGGAAAGCCGCCGTTTCGGAGCGCTGTTCGGACGAGCTGACCTGCCATCCCGGCCGGAGCTGCACTCCCAGCCACACATTTATTATTCTCCGCGAACAGTGGAGCACCAGCCCCACCTCCCACCTCTCCACCTCCGGTCACCCCTCAGACGTTTCTTCAAGGCGCTGCTGCAGGAGGAACTGCAGGCCCAAGAGTACGGCCGCCGCCCGGGTACTGCCAAGAATGGCACTTTATTTTTAATCCTCACACACGCACGCCTCATGTCTCTCCCACCACAGGACTTATCCACACCACAGGTAAGTACAAGAGACACAAAAAGCCAGAACCCTGGAAAAGAGAAGGCCATCCCTGGGATAACCACGAGATTATAGCTACTGAGAGAACCCTCAACCTGGCTCTGTGCTTCCTAGCACACGAGGCACAAAGGGAGCAGAAGATGCTACGATTCTCTGGCTGGTGGACAGAAAATTCTTACTAGTTCTGCAGGGGAAGCAGAGCTTGTCCTAGCACTAAATCTTAGCAGAAGTCTGCCAGGCGGCAACCCCTCCCACGTCAGTCAAGTCAGCCTGCCCTGGTTTTGAGTTTCCCGACAAGAGCAGCAGGGATTTTACATCAGTTTGCTTCTTCAAAAGAACCCGAAGACAAGCCTTTCAAGGCCACTCTGGGAAGATGACTCCCCAGGGGTAGGGTGACTTGCCTCAGTGGAGAAAGGCTTTTGCTGGGCAAACCTGGCAAAGGACTTGGCACACCTGGAGTGGTAGACGATGGCGTGTCCCCGAGGCCTTCCCTTCAAACAGCCCTGCTCCTGGCCAGGCTGCTGAGTCTGTGCTAACCTCTGCTCCTGGAGTGGGGGTGTCAGAGACCCCCGCAGGAACCTCCAGCCCTGCCGTTCTCGGCCCCCCGCCCCCACCAGGGTGGTGTCAGCCAGACTTCTCGAGTGGCATGGGGCACTTAATTCACAACTGGCCCCCTGCCAGCCTTACACATTGGCTGGCTTCAGTTTTGAGCCCTATTCCAAACTGGCATAGACTTTCTGTTTTGTTTAAGGAAAAGAAAACAGAATAAAACCCAGAAGACAACACTTGGATTAAGGGACGCCTATTAAAAACATGTGCAAGAAACCCAAATCCGGTAAAGGAAGGGGGGAGGCCAGAGGGGAAATTAACTTTCTACTATAAATCAAAAGCAGGGAGCGGGCAAAGGCCAGGAGCACAACGCTGCGAGGCCAAAGGGCAGACCTGAGTGGGCTGGCTTCTTCCGGGCCCCCTCCCCGCGGAAGCAGCCCTCCCTTGGTGCAGAGGCTCCACATTCTGATCCCCCTGTGCTTTCATGCTGCCGTCTCCCAGGCCGTGCTGCTCCCTCTGCCTGGGTTGCCCATCTGCAGCCGTGAAGGCCCAGCTCCCCTGGCTGGGAAGCACTGCCTGGCCCCTCCGTGCAGGAAGGGCCCCTTGTGTCTGAGCCACCCGTGCACCAGAGGGTTACTGCCTGTGGACCCAGGCCAGCTGTGTCCCAGCATCCGGGGCACCACTGCCAACCTATCTAAGGATGAGGGCAATGCACTGCCATGTACCCAGAAGGAACCCCATGCCCTTTCAGCCTAGGACCAGCTTACTGAGACCAAGATCAGTGGCAAAGTCTCAGAGCCAGACCCTCAGGAATGTGAGAGTGCAGGCAGCAGCTGACTTCCTGCTGATACAAAGCCTTGTGCAGCAGCATGAAGATACCTGGACTGGCCCCTGTCCCGTAACATGGACCCCTGTCCTGTCAGGGGCCAGGGGTCTTCCCACTGCCCTGCCACTCAGCCCCTCTCTCCTGGCAGGAGAGGAGGTACCCTCTGCCCGAGGCACTCAGAAACCATCACCCCCTCAAACTCCAGCTCATCTGCTGCTCCAGGACACTCCCTGGTACCTCGTTTCCCTCCATCAAGGCCCATCCTGATGTCTCACTTTAGAGCAGAGAACAACTTACTCACAAGCAGGATCTAGCTCCTTATCTTCCTTTCTCTCCATTTCCCTTCTCCTCCCCCTCCATCTGCCCCAATCCTTCTGACTTAAATGCTTAGGAAATTCCAGATGACTCACCGAGCATGGTGTGTAATAACAGGAACATCACCTGCTCATATCCCTTCCCTTAAAAACAAAGCCCTGGGGTCCCCCCAGCCTCTGGCAGGAGGCTGAGCTGGCTCTCAGTCACACCTGGGGGCTCCCTCGAGTCAGCCGAGATGACTTAACTGTGGCAGGAGGCCCAACCTTTTGCCTGGAGTGGGGAGGAAATGAAGGAGGAGCCAGATGTCCTATGCTTTATTTCTTTTTGTATAATAATTTCTTTACAAGAAATAAACAGATGTCTTGAGATGTCCCCATCTTTCCCCAGGAAGAACTCACTGTGTGCCTGTCATCATCCTGCCCTTTGGGACACTCTGGCCGGGAAGGAGAAATCCAGAGGCCACTTCCGCGTGCTGCCTCCCTGCCTTCACCCTTCATTTGCCCTTCAGCCCCCACCTCTCTCACACCTGCTCTCCAAAGGATGCCCTTGGACTCCTGATGTCACACTCCAGGCCTCTTCGCACACCTCCTTTTGCATCTCTGCAGGACCATCATAACACCTCCCTCCCCTCCAGCTGCTGTGGCCCCATCCTCCACTTGACCCTCGGCCTCTTCCTCAACCCTGTGCCTCCCTCACGGGGTCCCCCATTGGTCTGTCTTCGGCTCTCCTTCCTTCCTGAGTTGGGTCTCCCCCTCTGCTGAATTCGACCCCTCATAAGACTAGAACCAAGCCTTCATCAGTGTTTCCAAAGTGAGATCTCTGGATGGTCCACGGGATGATAAAACAAGAGTGATGAAATGATGGTCAGACACAGGGGAGGGAGAAGAGCAGATGAAATGGGTGTCCTCTCTTCGGGACTTCTCAGAGCTTCACTGTGCCGGTGCCTTGGGGGCACCACGAAGGGTGCACAGGTACAGGGCAGGCTTTCCGACCCCACTTGATGACAGGGTCCTGTCTCTCTGACCACCCTGTGGGAAGGGCTGTCACACGTGCTAATGGCTTCCAAATCTGTACCTTCTGCATTGGCCTCCCTCTTAACTGTCCCGCTGCTTCCAGGACATATTAAGTGAAGGCTGCTCACTGTCATCTTCCGACCCAAACCCGCACCACGTCCTGTGTGCCCGGACTCAGTGATGAGGCCTCGCCACCTAAAGCTGGTCAACGAGCCCTTCCCAAGGGTCCTTGCCCAGCCCCGATGCCACGTGTCTGCAGCACTTACCTCGGCCTCCTCCAGTGCAGCAGCTAACTGGGAATTTTTGCATTTGGGGGTTTGGGCCTCAAGTAATTTCTCCTAGAATTTAAACTCCATCCAGCACAGCCAAATGGATCTTTAGGAAGCTATCATCAGATAACCTCACCTCCATCACCAAAACCCACCATGGACTCTATTCTGTAGGCAAGACCAGGCTAGACAAGCATGGCTTTCGGGGGTCCAGTCTCAGCGCCCTGCCAGCCCCCTCTCTCCATGTGCCTCTTGACAGGCCAACCAACCACAACGCCAGCTGTCCTTAGAGCTCAGCCCAGCCTCACGTGCCATTCCTTCCATTGGCAATGTCCTTCCTTCCCTAGAGAGGGAAGGTATCCTCAGTATCCTACTTGTGGGTCCCTCAGGGTCCAGCTCACACACGTCGCCACAGCTCTGATGTCTTCCCATGCCATCCAGCACCTTCCTCCTGGGCACGTGCAGTTGCTCCCTCCTCTGGGCACTCTCCTTTGAATCCTGATTGTCATCCCCAGCTCTGGACCCCCAGCACTAGTACACACTGGGAACTTAGCCAATGCTGACTGAACGGATTAATACACAGGAGACGCGGCAAGCCTGTCCCCACTGGAATACCACCATTACTTCCTCTGACCCCTCAGGGTGCTTCATCGGCGCCTACTTCTTCTTTTACACTCATGTACAGCCCTGGCTTATTTACCCAGGCAGGGCCATAAGCACCTTGACAGCAGGGTCTGTGAGCCCTCTTTGAGTCCCCCCCAACCTGGACTGGCACCTGACTACCAGGCAGGAAGGGCCTGGGGGATGAATGAATGAGGAAGAGACAGGTAAGCGGGTGGGGTTCTCACCCGGGGACCACATGGGGCGTGGTCTTCAATCTGACATTTGTCCCCAACTATAAGTTAACAAGTGTCCTTTTTGAGCCTCACTCTTCTACTAAGGAGGTGGGGTGGGGGGATGGGGGTGAGGAAAGCTGGTCTATATGACCCAGCAAAGCACTGCCCTGTTGCAGACGGGACCATGTACTCTGGATCCCGAGGGCCTGAGTCCAAAGCCAGCTTCCCTGTTTACTAGCTGTGTGACTTGAGACAAGGGAGGTAAGCAGTCTGCTCCTTGGTTTCCTAATCTGTAAAATGAAAAATTACAATACACTAACTTACAAAGTTGTTATGAAGATTGGCATGAAACACCAAACGGCATTCAGCGAAGAGCGTGTTCTCATGAAAGGCTTGCGGTCGCCATCCTCTTCCAGCTGCAGCGCCTGCAGCGCCAACAGTCCACGTGATTTATGGGTGGGACAAAGCCAGCAGTTGTGAGGGAGTGCAGGTGGGGGTGCAGGTGGGGTGCGAGGGCTCGTCTGTCAGAGGAAGCCGGGCCTGTCAGCGCCCGAGCCTCACCATGAGTCCTAACTCTGACTCCTCAACTGACTCGTCGCCCCATTCAGATCTTCCCGGCAGGGTGGCACCCACTCTTTGCCTGCCAAGCTCAGGGGCTATTCCTGCCTTTGGAAGAAATGACCTAAGAATTCTCAACCCTCAGACCAGGGGCCTGAGAAATGGGGCAGCGGGGTGGGAGAAATGTGTCAATAGGGCACTCTGCCTTCGGTCCAATTTCAAGATCCATTCTGTCCCCCTGGTCCACATAACTCAGAGGGGAATTCACAGCAAGCCACCACCTGGGGCGGCTGTCAGTCTGAATCACTGAGTCAGGCAGCGGGGTTTCAAAAGCCAGCCTACTCTGAAGTCTGTGGAGTGGAAGTGGACTGTGGCCATGGTGAGGTAAAATTAAATCCAAACCAGCCAACCTCAAAGGCCAAAGCCCAAAGTCAAGTCCATAATCGTGGCCTTTAATTTCTCAAGTGTTAACACAGCTTCTAGCCTTCAGGGTTTGTTTTTATTAATGCAATCAGTGCTTTTGCATTGAATTTGACCTTCCCTTTGCAAAGCCCAACACTCACAGTGGTATTATTTTACAAAGATGTTAAAACAGATCTCCCAAACTCACATTTCTCACTGCCCACTTGTCAGCCTATATTACAGGGTTTTCAAGCAACTTCCACAGTCCCAAAGGATGATTTTCTTCATTTGATGCTATCAGTCAAGGACTGGAAACAAGAGACAGGCCAACCCTCTTTAATTCACCGAGCTTGGATATTAACTATTTCTTTTCCTTAGTCACACATTAAGCCCCAGCAATAGCGGCCAAAACAAAATCAAACTCACATTCTTCTAAAAGTACCAGATGAGCATACAAAAAATTCCCCTCAATAAAAGTGGAACGGATGTTTCACTTATTTCAAGCCCTTTTGTGGGCCCCACACTGGAGCCGAGGTCTGCTCTGGAGCAGCAGAAAAGCAGGTCTCGGAGAAAGGGACCCGAAGTCCACGACTGGGGGCAGGGTGTGGAACTGGGGGTCCAGTTGCTCCACAATGTCATCAGCTAATGCAAAGCGATACCCGTGGCACCATGATACAGAACTGTGTTTACAATAACACACCGAGGGGAGACAAAGTGGAAACATTGGACATGCACCAAGGTCTCAATGGAAGGCACAAATGTATGTGCTTGACCCGAAAACATCAGAAGGACCGCAATAAAACAGAAAACTGGGTTTGGGTGAAAAGATTGTGGGCAATTTTGCTTCCCCCCCCCAAGTGCCTTATATGTGGTTGTTTTGAATAAAAACTACATCATTGTAAGATGGAAATGTTGAGATAAGATGAAATAAAACCTGGAGCAAGTCTACAACAGTCGGGGGCTGGAGTCTGCCACCCACGGCTTTTTGTCCAAACACACACACACTTGGCCGACCACGGCCCCTCGGCTCCAGAGCACAAGTCTGGGGAACTTTCACTCACTCATGTCTCACCACTGCCCAGGGGAACACACACCTGGCCTGGGGCTGCCTTTCCTGACACCACTGTCCCCAGGTTTTACATTCTGGGGGTGACCTCAGGATCCCTGTAACCAGAAACCTGATGGGCTGAACTGGCCCATGGTGGGGGGTTGGGGGTGGAGCCTCACCTTCAGGACCCCTCCCCACACCAGCCACCTGCCAGGGCTGCAGGTAGAGGGAATATACAGTCATCCAGACAAGCAGACACTTACCCAGGTTACTGTGTGCTGGGGACATCGGATTCGGGGATAGGTTTGGAGAACCTGCAGGGTGAGACACAGTGTGAGATTTCATAAAAGACTCTTGGCTGGAGAACCCAGTTACTGATATTGAGGTGGGACAGCTCGGCACAGCAGAAACCCTGGGCTGAGGATCCAAAACCCAGGAGAAGGCCCAGCGCCCTGTCCTTGCCCGCACTTTGCCTCCGTGGGCCCCAGGTCACTCCCCCTGTGGAACAGACACATGGAGGAGGGATGACCTCCAGGTCTCCGCCCTGACTTGGCGGGCTGATGCTCTTCACCAGGACCCACAGTGCAGGGGCTCGAGTTCCCGTCTAGGGTACTGACCTACACTGCACTTGCCCATCCCGTTAACTGTGCCCCCAAGAAAATGAGACAAGCAGGGAAGGCCCCCTGCCCAGCTGCTCAAAGACCCAGGCAGCAAAGACCAGCCCTCCCATACAGGTGGGGCCTGGTGGCCCAGATGTCACTGTCACTGCTCTCAGGGGCTCGGAACACTGCGAACTCCCTTCCAGCCCTTTCCCCAGGCTTCAGGAAATGCCCTGAGCTGCCACAGCAATCCCGCACCTCAGTGATCGACTGACATTTTATGTGAGACCTGATGTCACACGTGGCCAGGAGTCCGGACCTACCCAGTTCATCCCACTCTAGTACTTTCTCTCCACCCCTTACCTCCAGAAACAAAAGCAAATGAAGACAAAAAAACCACATGGCATCAACCTTCAAAAAATCCGGCCCACAGTCATTAAATGACTGTGGGGCAGCCCTGTGGGGCTGGCTCTACCCTGCAACCCACCAGTCTCGATGCTGGGCCTCATGCATATGCCTCCTTGAGCTGTTCATGGGGTCCCTTCCTGCTCTCACCATGGGTTTCTTTTTCTCCCCCAGCACCAATCCACTGGACAGATGGAAGAGTCCCCAAAAGGAGAGCTTCCGTAGTGGCTCTGGGTCGGAGCTGTGGGACCTTGGTAAAGTGGTTAAACTCTCTGAGCTCTGACTTTCCCCCTCAGGCATAAATTGGAAATAATACCATCTACACTGTATGGTTTGTAGAAGTAAAGTGATTCCGTGCATATAAAAATGGCTACACCATGACTGGCACATAGCAGACACTCAATAAATGTTGGTTTCCTGTTTTGTGGTGGCTCATGAAAACCCAGGAAAGCTGTGGGACCTTCCCACTGACCAGGGGGGGGAGAGTGTGAGGAGGAGGGGTATGTGTGTGTGTGTGTACACAGAGCTGGACAAAGCGATCTTCAGGCTCCAGCTGGGACGCCATCACATTCCAGCTGTCCAAGTGCAGCTAGACTGGCTTCCAAATGGACAACTTTGAATGAAGAATGGGGAATAAACAGGAGATCCCACCCAGTCACCCGAAGGCTGCTTGGGGTCCACAAAAGGCAGTGTCTACGTTCGGTAAGTCACTAATGTTCACACCAGGGCTCTGCAAGTACACTTATGGGAAGAGAGGACAAAGGGAGAGGGAACAGAGAAAATGAGGCACCAAGGAGGGACAGAAGGGGGCAAAAAGGCAGCTGCTTAGCCCATATACACATCCTTCCCTTCGGCTCGTTCTGCTTTAAAACAGTAATCATTCCACAAACATGAAGAGCAGCAAGGAGGGAAGACAGAAGGGAGAGGGAGGAGAACTATCGCATCTGGAGAGATGCTACTCAGCTGGCCTGCCTCCCATGCCAGCATTTAATGGCTGCAAGCTTGCCATGGCCACTTGGCAGCAGACACAGGAAAGTTTTCAGAGCATTCCAGCTGGGTTCACACTGTCAGCCACTCATCTGGTGGGGGGGGGGGTGTTTGGGGGGGCAGTGCTAAGCCCTGAAGTGTCATGATGCCCGGGCTAGGCATCAAGCAACTGCATGTTACAATGAACGCGTGAGTCTCTTTCATCCATCCTTCAGAAACTGCACTCTCTCTTTTGGGCCATGTGTGAGGCAGGTGGCTCTGCTGCACGTAGCGGCTCCGTGGGTGCAAGGCACGCTTGTCATCATCGGAATGGAACATCTGCTTGGCTCCCTCCTCCTCCTCACCCAACCACACACAACGCAGAGCACATTCCATGTGGCAGCTGGGGTCCAATGCAAGAAACCACTGGTTTGGAGCCAATTTCGTCCGGTAATAAATGACACAGGGACATCTGGAGATGTGGTTGAAGGTGCCTGGGCTGGGTCCCTCACAGGAGGAACACATAGATCACATTTGGTCACCACACAAAAATAGATACTTCAGAGGCCTCGACTGGCCAATGGCAAAGACCTCCCCTCACCCAGACTCTCTGAAACTACTTTTGGTGATAAAGCCCACCCTCTACCCTACTGCCAGCTACAGCTCACCAAGGCGCAGACTCTGCTCGGCTCTCCATCAGCTTCCAGCCACACTTGGTCTTCAGTGAGGTGTCCTCCTGTCTCTCCCCACTCTGGGGGAATCGGCTGTACTCACACTGAGTCTTACTGTCCCCAAAATGCACCTGGCTCTCCTGCCTTTGCCCCTGTGACTGCCTGGCACAGCCTTTGCTGGACCTGACGGCCTGGCCGACACCTATACAGCTCCAAGACTCAATGCAAGAAAAACCTACACTGCAAGGTACTGCTCTGTCCCCGGCACCTCCTCTCCAGGCTGGGTTAGGTGGCCCTGCTCTGTGCCCCTGATGCTGTGTGGCACGTTCCGTCAGGGAACATATGTGACGCACAGTAACGGCTGCTTGTCCTGTTGGTCTCGCCATGACTGTGCGCAGCTCAGGCTTCTCCTCTACCCCGAATACCTGGTACGGAGTGGTTGCTCTATAAACGCTGGAGAGAGGGAGAGGGGAGGAAGGGAGGGAGGGCAGGCATTCAGGGTTAAGAGCATATCCCTGCAGGACTCTCACCTGCATCCATGCTGTGGTTCATCTGGTGGTCACTGGTCTCTCCATCTTCACTCAGGTAGCCAGGGGGTGGGGTTTCTGGGAACCAGGAGGAAAGCGGTTCATTAAACGACTGCATGGCTTGGAGAAAGACCTTTCGCAAACTCATCACACATTCACACCCCTATGCCGGTTGCAGGTGCTGGAGGAATGAACCATGGGCCTCAAAGCAAGGACACAGCTCCTGGATCCTGCTGTCCTCATGCCCTTCCACCCCCAGTACTGCCAACCCCACCCCCGTCATCATCACCTCATTACCACCTTTGTTCATACCACCAGACTCCCAAGTCTGACACGCCTGAGCCTCTGCCAGGCTAACTTTCCCACATCCTTCAAGGTCAGGTTTAAGACCACACTGCCAGGGCAATTGCTGACTCGGTTCGGCCTTGTCCACCTCTGTTCCTAAAAGGCGACCACCTCAAACCACAGTGGCCTTGTTATTTGTTCTCTTTAAGAGATGTCTTAGCATCCCAAGTGAGTTCCAAGTTCAATGCCAGTAGAGACTGATCTATTTCTCTGAATGACCCCCAAACACTGACTTAGCTCTCTAAGGCTCACTGAATAAACAAAGTAGGTGACCTGCCCCCCAGAGACCAGTGCCGCCTGCGCAGGACCTGGAAAGAATGGGCCTGTGAATCAGGTCTCTCCTTAGTGCTGAGACCCACGTGCAAAGGCCTGTGGTCAACCTCAGCTCATTAAACTCGCTCAGGGTGAAGGCTTGTCCAAATCAGACCGCTCAGAACGGACTGCAGCGTGGTTACTGCCGGCAGCCTCAGGCCCCGAGAGGTGACCAGCCCAAGGGCTGCCCTGCAGTTTTCCTGGGCTTGGAGAGTGCTGATGGTTCACACATTATTTGCATATAAGTGAGGGGCTTCTAAAAACATCTGCACTCTGACCGTGGAGCCCATTTTCCCCTTGGAGAAGAAACTTGAATGGGGCCTCACCCCCACCCAGGCTGTAATGCTCAGCAGGCTGACGTGCAGGCCAGCCCTCTGAGCTGGCTGCCCAGCCCTGACTCAGGGCCCCTACTGTCTCTGCAGCCCCCAAGAGTCAGGGATCCTGCCTGAACTTCAACCCCAGCTTCAGGGCAGTGGGAGGAACACAGTGTTGCTATTTCCGTTTCCAAAATAAATGACTGCACTGAGGCTGGGAGGAAGGGTCACGCCGCTGCTGCTCTGTGCCAAGAACAGCATCATTAGTAAGTGCGGAGCAAGGCCAAGGGTCCTCTCCCAACAGGGATGTGGTTCAGAGCCAGGGGCCAGCTTTGTGTGCACAGAGAGGGTGATGGGGAGGGCCAAGGGGGCTGAGGGTGGAGCAGTGGGGCCAGCGTCCCCAGGCCAGCCTGCGCTGCCAGGAACCTACCTGGAATATTGCTCTGCGGCTCGATGCCCGCGGGGAAGTTAGTGTTTTCGGGGATGGAATGGCTGTAGTCGTCCAGCGGGGGGAACTCGGCCGGGATCTCTGTGTGGCGTGGCACCAACACAGGAGGTAGAACTGTCCGGAGGAGACAGAGCAGAGGTGGATCGGCATCGATGCCGGGCTGGCACCGAAGCCCCTGCACCCCCAGATGCACTGCAGACCCTCCCTCAGGAAGAGGAGGGAGGGGGGAGAGAGGGTCGGGAAAGACAGGGAGCTCACCTGGGGTCTCTACCCTTTGGTAGTGGTAGGGATTCACGCAGACCTCGTCCTTCTTCATGTTGAAAGCGAACTCACACAGCTCCATGGCCCGCAGCTCATGGTGGCTGTGCAGGTCAGGCCATCGCCACAGGCGGCAGTAGATGACATGGGGGAGCCCCTTCCGATGGGACACCTGCAGCCGGCCATCCAGGGACCTGCCGGGTTGGGGAGGAGCAACAAGAGACAGTGAAGTGGACTTGGCTGGTCTTCTCCTAAGTTCTGCCTGCTGCTCCTAGTCAGCCTGTTGGCAGAGATTCAGAAAGCCCGCCCCACCCCCGCTCCTTTCCCTCAGACGCAGGGCCCGGAGATCAGAGAACCGCTAACTGTTAGTGCTGGATGGGGTCCCAGGAGAAGAACACAGAGGCCCACCAAGGAAGGCAGAGGCCTCCCTGGGGCTGGCAGCATGGGGGAAGAGTTCTCCTCCCCCACCCCACCCCCATATAAAATGGATGGCATTTGAGTCATGGTCTGAACAGGAACAGGTCCCCGAGCCAGGCGGGGGTGGGCGGGGGAGGCAGGGCTGAGCTAGGAAGTGAGCTCTTTAGGTGCAAATGTGAGGACCACGGTGCTACTGAGAAGGTGACAATGCAGACAGGTCATCTCCACTCCCTCAACACTCACCCAGTTCCTCCCTCACACATCAGAAAACAAGAAAAAAAACCCAAATGTCTCTTTTTCAGGTGGTATTCGTGACAAGGCAGGCAGGGGAAGAGGGACACTAGGGGACTTTTAAATGGTAGGAGCCCACACTGCAGGCCCCTCAGGGGTCCCTTCCAGTTGGAGGCTTGGCTGCAGGCAGACCAGGTGTCACCACAGGGACACGAGTGGGCTGAGCAGGAGCCCAGCCTGCAGCTCCACGCCACCCTTAGTTCTGCCACTGTCCCCAGCCTAGGTGGGCCGAACACTCTGCAATGGCAGTGTCTCGTGCCTGTGCGAGCCATGTCTTCTTCAGTGATTGGCCTCCAAGCAGCCATGACCCCCACCCCTCCGGCCAAGCCAAAGTGTGGCCCCTGGACCAGCAGGGTGGGCCCACAGAAGCCCGTTTAAAGGGCAGAGCCTACGCCAACCTACTAAATGAGAATCGTGCTTTTCACACGATCCCAGGCAGCTGCATGACAGGCGGGCTGCGGCAGCAGGGCACGAAGCCCTGTGGAGCTCCGGAGGGGCAGACGCCCTGCCAGCCAAGAGCACGGTGGGCAGGTAGAAAGCTTCTGTAGGGACGTGGGGTTTCAGCTGATGTCCAGTACCGGACAGGTAAGGAGATGCTATTCACACGTACAAGATTAATAAAATATGTCATGAACTCCTATTGTGGCACTAGGGAGAGAGTGGCAGGCACAACTTTTCTAACGGCTGGGCGGGGCTGGCCGAGAGGCATTTGCAAGCTCTCCCTCCCCACCCCCACATGACACAGTGTACCCACTGACCTGAAAAACAGGATGTATGGGCACTCTGTGAGGGAGGGGCTAGTCAGATGCAACCGGAAGCACCAACCAAACTGAAAAAACCAGAGGAATCCAATCGAACTATCCAGGCCACCAGCCTGGGGATGGGGTCAGACAGACAAAGGCCAGAGCTGGGCTTGAACACAGGGACTGACCCAGAGCTGCTGACCAAGGGCATCTCAGTGGACATAATGACCTCCTTCCTGACAGCCCCAAAACAGTAATTGCCAGGCAGAAGGAAGAGAACAGCCGAGAGGTAGAGAGGAAGACTGTCAGGTAAGGAGTCATGAGACCTGGGGCCCAGATGGGGCCCTTCTGTCCTAGCTGTGAGATACTGGGTAAGTCATGAGGTCTCTGGGACCCTCAGTTACTTCACCTGTAAAATGGGAACATTCTCTCACCCCCCTTGACCTCCAGCAGCCCAGTATCCACTTCACAAAGTATTTGTGAAGCACCAACCCCTGAATGTTACTCCACGTGACAGCAGCCACTCTCCACACCCCGGCCTGGATAAATGGGCAAGAGTGGGGTGAGGAGGAGAGAGGGGGAGTGGAGATGAACACCATTCAGCTGTTCCCATCCTCTTGCAAAGCTACTGAGTGACCATAGATTAGAGAAGCAGTTGTATTTGCTCCTCAGTGTTTGACAAAAACCCCAAGAAAGAGCCAGCTGGACATCTAGAGCTACCTCTGCAGGGGGAGGCCCTGAGAAAGGCTCAGACCAGCAGCAAGGGAGAAACGGGGCTCTGGATGGAGCCCCCCTGCCCCTGCCTGGTCGATGGAAGGGGGTGCATAGTTGCTTTAAAAATCATAGCAATACATAGAGAGGTGGTGATGGACAACACAGAGGAAGGCTATCAGCTTCCACGGGGCAGAGAACCTAAGAGAATGAGCAGAAAACCAAGCTCCTAACAGCCCCATACCTGGGCCTGCACCTTCAGGAAGGGACGGTAGGAGGATAGGCATATGCAGGACACTCTGGGCACCCCTGGTGAGTGCCCTAACATCCTAATGCCCCAGAAGCAGGACACTTGGGCCAGGTGCCTCACTGGACAGAGATCTGGAGGGGACCCATGGCCTCACGCCTGCTCAGGGACCTACAAGGAAAAAGGGGCCTGGAGCGAGCAGAAATGGGGCAGCCCATGGGACACAAAGCTCAGATGTGATACAGGCGACTAAGACCAAGGTCTGGGTGTGAGGTGGGGTTGGGACGTGGTTGTCATGGGTTTTTGTAGTCGACTGTTGGGAAGGAGAGTCAGGAAGGAGGTGAAAGAGGACAGAAGGTTTATCACAGGTCTGTAGGTAGAGGACTTCAGTTTCTGGAGCCCTCACGTCCAATCCTTTCTATATTATGTGGGCTGTTTCTTCTCAGGGTCTGAAGAGCTTGGCTGTCTACTGGAACAATTATGGCAAAGAGGAAGGAAGGGGAGAAAGCAGAAGGGGGAGTAAAGGGGAGGGGTACAAGGGGGAGGGTAGACGGGGAGAGAGAGGGGGGAGGGGGGAAGAAGGGGGAGGAGGGATAGATGGGGAGAGAGAAAGAAGAGAGAAGGGGGAAGGAGGGGGGAGAAGGGCAAGAAATGTCCTTCAGTCAAATAAAACAAACTGAATGGATGCAATTTATCTCTGTCCTGCCCCAAACAATGAGTAGGAGAACAGAGCCGACAAAAGTGGAAAGCAGATGGCCGAGTGGGAGCAGACCTAGCAGAGTGGAGTGAGCTGAAACCAAGCGCCTACCAGAGGAAGCCAACAAAAGTGATCCCACTCGTGCCTGAGAGCCCTGGAAAGCCGGGAATTTAAGGCACCACACACTTCTGAAGGTGGGACTGAAAACAGGAGGACAGGCTGCAAGTCTAAAGAAAAGGCGGTCAGATCCTCGCCCCCCTTTTCAGGGCCCCACAAACAGGGCCTCCCCAACCCTGTAAGAGACAGGTTTGCTCTTTGCAGAAAATAAACTTGAGAGGGGCGGTGCTCTGGATGGGCCACCAGGGTGCAGCTGGGGGTGAAGGTCAGAGGAGGGCTGGAAGGAAGATTCCTGGAGGCCCCCTTGCGCTCCTTGGTACCCAGGTCAGTGACGGGTGGTCCATGTGTCCACCCCTTCCCGTGGAGAGATTAAACAGCTCAGACCACAAGAGACCTGCGATCTGACATTTGGGGATCCCCCCAACAAGATGGCCCTACTCCTGCCAGCTCCCCCACGCAGCGTAGCCCACCAGCCAACAAGCTGGAGCAGTGAATGTTTTTTATTGCCTCTCTCTTACCTATGAATGCACAGCCAGAATCCTCAGCCTTTTAAAGAAAGCCACTACCAGGACACACAGAGAAAGAAAGAACACAGGGAGGGGAAGGCAGTCTGAGGCAAGAAAGGAGAAACTTCCAAAGTCAACAAAATAAAACAAACACTACCCTCAGGGAGATAAGATACTGAAATCCTAAAATAGAAACGTTTATAGACTATTTCAAAAAACCTCTTGGAAACAAAAAATAAGAATATAAATTTAAAATTCAAGAAAGAATCAAGTCAAGGGCTCCTTGAGTTCTTAAACTGTTGTATACATGAATTATTTTGATAATATAATTAAATTTTAAAAAGCAAGGGAGCTACAGTAATCAAGGCAGTGTGATAACGACAAAGATAAAAACCACACACACACACACACACCCCTGAGAAACAGATGACAGAACTTCGCAGAGTCCAGAAATAGTCACAAATGCACCGACAACTGAGTTTCAACAAAGGTCCAAAGACAAAGAGAAAGGACAGTCTTTTCAACAAATGGTGCTAGAAAAGTCATACATCCAAAGGCAAGGAAAGTGAACTTCGATCTCCACCTGGCACCCAGTACAAAAGTCAGCTGAAATAGGTCATCATAGAAAGCCTAAAACAATACAACTTCCAGAAGAAAACACAAGAAAAATTCTTTGTGACCTTGTGATAGGCGAACATTGCTTAGATATCACACCACAAACACATTCCATTTTTAAACAGTGGACCAATTTGACTTTATCAAAATTAAAGCTTCTGGTCTTTGGAAGTCACTGTTAAGAGAATAAAAAGACAAAGACACAAATGGGAAGAAAACATTTGCAAAGTATGTATCTGACAAAGGCCCTGTGTCTGAAACACATAAAGAACTCGGAATACGCAATATTCAGAAAACAAACAACCCAACCATAAAAATACAACAAAGTCATCTGAACAAACCCCACACAAAATATGTAGAGATGGCAAATAAGCGCAAGAAAAGATGCTGATGTCCAATGTCATCAGTCATTAGAGAAATGCAAATTACATCTATGGAGAGACAACGCCACGTAACTGTTAGGAAGCCTGCAATAAAAACTCTGCACCACATGCTGGCAAGGGTGGGGAGCAACCGAAACTTCAAACACTGCTAATAGAAATGTAAAATGATACAACTACTTTGGCGAACAGTTTGGAGGTTTCTTAAAAAAGGTAAAAAGAAACCTATCATACAAGCCACCCGTTTCACCCGTAAGAGTTTACCCAAGGGAAATCGAAGCATCTGCCCAGACACAAATGTTCACAGCAGCTTCATTTGTAAGAGCCCCAAACTGGAGATTACTCAACGCACAGAAGCGGGTGAGTACATGAACAAACTGTGGTATGTCCACACAGAGGAATACCACTCAGCACCGTAAAAGAAGGGACCACCAATGTACGTGACAACATGGATGAACCTAAAAATAACT